AATGGACGTCACACGTATCAGTCCACGCAAATCTAAAAGTCCCTATTTACGGCTCGTAAACATCAGGCATGAATTGGAGTTCAACCCGTTAACTGAATGGCTTGCCAATGTACCTCAAGAACCCAGACCCTCTTTCCAGCGTAGTTGGAAAAGCAATATTTGGCAAAACGTGCGTTCATTAATGATCATGTGCAGAGAATCCATACATTATTTTGCTAAGTTGAGTTATCCATTCTGTTAGTTACTACTACAGGGTAGGGATTTATCATTATTTGAATACTGATACATAATTTATATTGATTTCTTTTTTTGAAAGGGGAAACACATTGAATCGCGAGATGTTTTTAGGTTCAGGTCTGATTCTAACAGAAGTGATTGTGAGCTTTAAATATCGAAATTAACTCATCAGGGTAGAAACTTTCCTGACTAACTGAAAAAAAGACATAACTCCTTGTATTTGTATTGTGCTTCCTGCGAATGAGACACGTCTTGTATTGCACATCACATCGTGTCTTGGACCTCATTTTTAAATGTTTTCACTTTTATTATTGCTCTTCCGATGCATGATGTAGATGAGGCGTATGTGCTTATGTAGTGCCCCACACCCCCTCCCCCTTGTGTAACATTACTTCGGAGAATAGGGGGTCTATATAAGCACTCTGACCCAGGCGCGGATCCAGGATTACTTAGGGGGAGGGGGGGGGGGGTCCAAATTTGAAATTATGCGAGCCAAATATTGGTACGTAATGGTGACCAACAGTGACGTAATGCGGGGGGGGGGGGGGCGAGTTTCCCCCTCTCTCCTCCGCGAAACGCGGAAGCTTTGACGTTTCATTAAATTATTAGAGAAAGAAGACGATTCGTTGTACCGTTCCCGAAATAATCCTCGTCTGAATTCAGTTTTTCCCCTCCCGCGCGAGGCGCGGAAGTTTTTACAATTCATTAACTTATTAGAGAAAGAAGACGATTTGTTGTATACAGTTCTCGACTCTTAATCCTCGTCTGAATTCAGGTCCCCCCTCCCGCGCTTCAGCTTTTAAGTTTCATTAAAATCATTAGAGAAAGAAGACGATTCGTTGTACCGTTCTCGAAAATAATCCTCGTCTGAATTTAGTTTTCACCCCCCTCTAGTCCACCCCTGGACTGTTCTCGTTAAAGTGAATCACTGGGGTAAGTGAATTACTGGAGTAAAGTGAACGAGCGCGGTAATATGACTGCGCCATCTGTTGGTTATGTGAGGGGGTTGCGCATCAATAAAAATCGTCCAGGACCTGGACTAACCCCCCTCCCGCGCAAAGCGCGGAAGCTTTTAAGTTTCATTAAAATCATTAGAGAAAGAAGACGATTCGTTGTACCGTCTTCGAAAATAATCCTCGTCTGAATTTAGCGCGGAACCTTTTACGTTTCATTAAATCATTAGAATCAAGACGATTCGTTGTACCGTTCTCGACTCTTAATCCTCGTCTAAATTCAATTTCCCTCGCCCCCTCTCCCGCGCGAAGCGCGGAAGCTTTTACGTTTCATTAAATCATTAAAGAAACAAGACGATTCGTTGTACAGTTCACGACTCTTAATCCTCGTCTGAAGTTCAGGTTCCCCCTCCCGCGCGAAGCGCGGAAGCTTTTAAGTTTCATAACATTATGAGAGAAAGAAGACGATTCGCTGTACAGTTCTAGACTCTTAATCCTCGTCTTAATTCAGGTTCCCCCTCTCGCGCGAAGCGCGGAAGCTTTTAAGTTTCATTAAATTATTAGAGACAGAAGACGATTCGTTGTACCGTTCTCGAAAATAATCCTCGTCGGAATTTTGTTTCTCCCCTCCCGCGCGAAGTGCGGAAGCTTTTACGTTTCGTTAAATCATTAGAGATTCGTATTACCGTTCTCGACTCTGAATCCTCGTCTGAATTCATAAGATTATGAGAGAAAGAAGACGATTGGCTGTACCGTTCTCGATTCTTAATCCTTGTCTGAATTCATTTCCCCCCTCCCCTCCTGCGCGAGGCTTTGACGTTTCATTAAATTATTAGAGAAAGAAGACGATGCGTTGTACCGTTCTCTACTCTTAGTCCTTGTCTGAATGTTCTTTGTCTGCTCCTTTTTCTTCCTACGTCCTCTTCCTTTCCTCTCCTCTCTTTGTTTTTGTTTTTGTTTTTTGGGGCTGGCTACGCGCCTGCGGTCAGATAAACACATTTTGATACCTTGTCCAACATCGGAAGCCCAGGGGTTTAAGGCAATAAATTACGGTCAGATAAGCATTCATGGGCCCGCCTTAGGGCCCCTGGTGGGGTCGAGGCGGTGGAGCCCCCAGAAGTTCAGGGTTTTTAGGCGTTTAATTACGGTCAGATGAGCATTTTCTTTTGGATACCTTATTATTTTGTGACATTGGCAGGACACTATTTGGCGTGGGGTCCAGGGGGCGGAGCCCCAACAAATTAAGGGTTTTAGGCATTAAATTACGGTCAGATGAGCATCTAAGAGCCCGCCTTAGGGCCGTAGGTGGAATCCATAGGGCAGAGCCCCCGGAAGCTTTAGGCATTTAATCACGGTCAGATGAGCATATTTTGATGCCTCATTATTTGTTGACACTGGCAGTTAACTATTCTTTCTTTCTTGCTTCTCTTTCTTTTTGAGGAAGTTTGAGGCTCCCGATCCCCGCCCTTCCTCGGGCCCTGACATGTAGGAATCTCAAGCATCATATATTCTTGCCTGGCTGTAAATTTAGGAATTTGTCATTTTCCAACAAACACATAAAAAAGTATAATTTACTAAAAAGTGAGGAAAAATCTCGGAAAATATGTAATTTCAGCATTATTTGTACTCCACCGTTATGGAATTAGAATTAAACCACGTTTGATTTTCCCCAGGCTCCCCCCCCCCTATCAGCACGCCAGTATCTCCTCTTTTCTTTTTTTTCCTTCCCTTTCCTTCCTTCTATCTTATTTTTTTGATTGGGGGGGGGGGCAACAGCTTGGGAGGCAAGGCCCTTTCGGCCCCCCGATCTCCTTCATCCCCCGTTTCTTTTCTTCTTCCTCTTCTTTCTTTCCCTTTCTCTCTTCTTTCCCTTTCCTTCTTTTCCTTTCTTCTCTTTTTTTTTTTTTTACGGGGGGGGGGGGGGGGGGAGGGGCCAAGGCCCGCTCGGCCCCCCTGGATCCGCGCCTGCTCTGACCGAAAATCAGACAAATGAAGGGGACATTAAAGAGCCTTGAAGAAATTTCTTTGGAGTTAGCAGGGATCAGGGAGATCAAACAAGGTCAGTAAAGAGTAGAACGGACAGACATGGGTCTATATACAAAAAATGCCCCCGAAATAATTTAATACAGAAACTGCTTTGTGCTTCGATTTAAAAAAAATATGCATACTTAGAAAAGAGTATACACTTTTAGAAAATACAAACACTAGTAACTGACGATGTTTTTCTAAGTTATCAAATACACATTTTTTTACTTTATTGAGCTCTAAATGAAAATTAAAACCCTGCGATTTTCGTCGATTTTGTGGTGCATGGTAGGATGTCGAGAAAATAAAAGCCCTAGAATAATATACATACATGTACAACATATTAGCTGATTTGTCCACGCGGTATGTTGTCAATAATTTACATGGCTTACGGTATCATTTCTATACACCAAGTGTACGGAGATCACATATTCTTTTTTTAATCACGAATTTGCCAGAACAAAGTTTTTGTCTATGATACATATTTCCTCGCTTCTGGGATACTTCCTCCGTTCATCAGCTGACTTGTGTATTCAGGCGCGTACGCAGGGGGGGGGGGGGGGGTAAACCCCACCCCCCTTGAGTTTTTTGTATGTGTATGTTTATCGGGAAAATTAAAGCCCCCCCTTTTTTTTCTTCTTTTTTTTTGGTAATAAAAAAAATTAAATAAAAAAAACCCCTAACGGATGACCTAAAAAGATGACCTTACCCCCCCCCCCCAACGGAACGGAATGTCGATCGGTCAAATTTTCAAATTTCGGGACCAAAAAAAAAAAAACCGAGTGTTAGAAAATTCGACATTTTGCTATTACTGCGTTATGATGCAGTGCACGAATTCATATGCCTTCTACCATACCTTAATATCAAAATGAGGGGGGGGGGATAAATCAAGGTAAAAATTACCTTTTCGATCAATCGGAGCGTTTAGATTGACGGGCCTTCAAGCCAAATTTCGAGCGGCCCGTGAGGAAACCTCCCTAAATTCCCGACCGCCAGTCCGCCCCTAGTATTATCCATTCGCAATGTACATGTTTACAATTGGAAGTGTGATTATCGAGATTAAGCATGTGCAGTATAATTTATAGGGATTGGAAATGTAATAATATATATATACAATATACATCTATACTTTTTATTGCGTGTCAGGACTTCCCTCTAGACTTTCAAAGAAACCAAAACGGAAACTTAATCTTAGAGTACCACTTCTGGACTACTAACCCAAAACCGGGTATATGTCCTAAGTGACTTGCTCAGGGCACTTGCTTGGGAGTTTATTGCCATCAGGGCTTTGGGGTAATTTTGCAAAGGGGCTACGAATGGATTATGTTCTAACAAAAATGTTGTCTTTCTGTAGTATGCAGGGCTGAAATGGTCACCCCCAGTATTAGTCGGTATGCCTCTCCTCTACAATAAAGGTCCTCATATGTTAAATATTATTATTATTATTATCATTATTTATTGTTTTCCGTGTCCAGAAAATGAGATGAAAGAAAGATACGTTATTATTTAAAGTCAGTCATGTGCAAATGCCTGATTCCTGTGTCTATACCTTAATATGAACTGCATGAAATAATTTAGAGATCCTCCATTTTTAATTGGGGTTCGTGATTTGATTGGTTTTAGATTATGCTATCGATCTCTTGGGTTGTGGGTTCTCTTGTTATTTCATTTTTTGCTAGCTTTGACAGCTTTGTAAAAATTAATTAAGATTGTATACGTTTTTAAATCGCAACGGAAATATTAATATGAAATACAAAAATTAATAAAAACAATTTGAATGCCAACTTTCCACGCCACCATTTGCTTTATTACTAATCTTGCCTGTATATTTTTCTTGTTGCGCACGATAATATAAATGATAATTAAAGTAATGTTTTGATTTGCCATGCTTTGTATCAGCAGTAAATAAGCAATCCAACATTGAAACGAGCTACAATACATGGTGTACCTGAAAATAGAAACCCAAGCTTATATTCGTAAATTACTCAATAATCCTAAATTATTTTTTATCCTTAATGTATAAATCGCTGAAAAGCTCCTTTTCCTTTCTATCATATGACAACAAGAAATTATGATCATTACATCACATACGACTGATTTAAGTCTGAACTGACACTGACAGAAAACAAAATGAGTCTATGATAGTTGTTTTAGCCTAAATACCTAATTTTTAACATAGTTAATTAAACAATTATTTCTCCTGTGATTATTAATGTTATCGTATGTAAATTTGTCTGCGTGCATTTGCACCTATATATTTCTGTCTTACATTTGTATTTCTATACGAACATTCCTGTCATGTTTTCGTGTAAGTTATTATGTAAAGGGTTAAAAGACAATTACCCTTGAGCGTTCTATGAAGGTAAATTATATATTTATTTATTAGCTTTTCTGTGATGTGTACATTTAATAAAAGTAATCATGTCAGGATTATTGAGTAATTTAACGATAAACTTGGGTCTCCTGTTTTCATGGACACCATGAACAATGAAGTTTATGCTTTATCAAAATCGCTAAATAATACAACAAAAATAATCTACAATAAAGGACGTTTTTCTGAGTAAAATATGGTGATATAAATTTCGACTAAAATGCTTAAGATTATGAAGCACTTAAAACTATATACACAGTATAATCATGGAACAACAAGGTAACTTCAAGAACTTGACAAAGGTTTAAATCCAAAAATTAGTATATTTTGTATCTCCTACGGCTTTTACATTATTTCTTTTCACTTGTCTATTTTTCGTCAACCACCGCACATGTATATATGTTTTTCCCCACCAGATTTGCCAAAATCTGTCGGTCAATTATATCTGGTATCGCCGGAGCCACTGGCCCGTCTTTGTGGTCTAGTGATTAAGGCATTGTCATTCTCTGCCAGTGACACGGTTCGATTCCCGGCGGAGACAATTTGTTCAACCTTTGCAAAAAAAGAAGAAAACAAAAAAGAGGGCAGCAAAGTGGACATTGGATTTAAGCTACGCAACCATTATTATCTAATTTCCATTCGCAATATACAGATATATATCATGTCATGACTAAAAAATACTAAAATGAATTGAGAAAAACCCATCGTACCATCATTATCATCATTATACTTTTTTTTAACAATGAAAATACCTCTTCTCTGAGTAATACACCACAAAATTTAATTACAAAATAAAATATCATCTGATCATGAATGCATCGATAAGGTACATATAAATGTACATATAAAATTTCGTCACTGAAATATGATAAAGATGATAACAAATAAAAAACACCTGGTTGCCCGAATATGTGGTAACGGGCTATAAGTAATTTCTAAATGATCTGGGAAGGGGGATGGGGGTTCGATGTGGTCTAGTGATTAAGGCATTAGCGTTCTCAGCCAGTGACCCGGTTCGATTCCCGGCGGAGATAATTTGTTCAACCTTTGCAAACAAAAATCAAAACAGAGGACAGCAATGGGAACCTTGGATTACGCAACCATTATTATCTAATTTCCATTCGCAATATACATAAATTATATATATCATATCATGATTAGAAATGATTAAAATGAATTGATAAAAAACCATCGTACCAGCATCATCATCATTAAACATTTTTCAACAATGGAAGAGCTCTTCTCTGAGTAATACACCACAACGTATTATTTATAAAAAAAATCATCTGATCATGAATACATCGATAAGGTATATATAAATATACATATATAATTTCGTCATTGAAATATAATAAAGATGACAAGATATTACATTCACCTGGTTGCCCGAATATGTAGTGACGGAATATTGGTAATTGCAAAAAGCTCGGGGAAGGGGATAGGGGGGGGGGGGGTTATTGTGGTCTAGTGGTCAGCCGTTTACAATTTTCAAAAATCAAATAAGAATGAATACAGCGCTATAGTCAAAACCAAAATCGGTGGTGCCACTGGCATCTATGTCACTGCTCTATTTTTCTTTGCTGACATCCGTTAAATCGATTGGAAAATTGAGGGCGGCATCACTTGTTGGTGGAAGCAACATCACCTCTATTAGTGGCCTTTGTGACAGATGCATCAAGAGGGAGACTGGCCGTCACGATATCTGTGCTTGTTGCATCACGATCCGCGTCCTTCTTCTGTTCTTCGGTGGAACTTTGGAGATCTTTGTTCATAGGTGGTGTGACCCCTTCCTCAACCTGGCTAACATCAAAGGTCGGATTGAACATACATATAGGATCGGGTTTGTCGTCTTTGGTAGGCAACAAGCAATTACCCGAGGCTCCTGGATGCAAATTGCTAATCATGCCAGCTGACGATGATAGCGCCGTCGAGCTTACCCCACCGCTGGAAGTGCTTGCTTTTTTCTTTAGGAACCTGTCGAAACAAATTAGCCCCCATTTCTTACGGATGTGAGGCTTCCGGACGCAGTAGAGTAGAAAGATGAACAATCCTTGGAAGGAGTTAAGGACGACGAAGATTGGCTGAGCCACCTGTTAAGCGTAAATGTTTCAGAAATAATAATTATGTATATGGCATTCTCTCTCATGTTCTTCAGAGTACTAAGCATCTAAAGAGGTATTGCTGGTGTATGTAATTATTACAACTGAGTTCTCAAGATACTTTTTAGAAGAGCTGGATACCACACATGAGTTATTCTTATAGCTAGTTGGTTTTACCTGACTGAATAACGGGATCAAAAGAAGATATCCGGTGACCCAGGTCAGACCAAGCAGGAGCAAGATGCAGATCGCGTTCTGGACGCGTTCGATAGTCTCTCGACGTTCTGCCTTAGCTTCTCTTTTTACCCGACCAGCGATGTTGGCTGACCGGATCAATTGTCGAACCACCAGGATGAAGATGACAATGTTGATGAGGAGGATGATGGATATGGGAATCAGGAGACCACCGATTTGAGCCCAAAATTGTAGAAAGCATCTATTGATAGTAAATATGCTTTTGTAAAGTGACTGACTTAAGTCAATCAGTACTGACAATCTTAGCGATAGTTGTACAAAATGTCTATGGTCCTTGAACCATTTTATCTCAAAAATTGTTACTGTAAATGCTTTCCCATTATTTTTTTGGCAAGTCCAAGCTTTGTTGTCCCATAAGTTACTAACAACATGTGATATTTTAGTATGTGTGGTGACTGTATTCACGTGGTGGCCTTCCTAGAGCTTGGGTCACAACACATATCCACGAAAGTGATACCTAAATACCAATTCCAGATCATAATTGCATACTTGCTAACTCATGAGATACCAAAATACCAAATGCCTAAAAAGTAGATTAAAGTACAGAAACGTGATTTTGCTGAATCTGAAATTTGAAGATCATTATAATTATATACCCTATGCTATGCAATCCAATATTCCAGCTAAACTTTCAAGCGTTACCACTTACAGATCATCATGAGCATACGAGTCTCTAGCAATAGCTCCTGTAAGAACCACGATAAGTGCTGGAATTCCTGAAATGACATACGTGTATAACAAAATACAATGTTTATAGTCATTCATAATAGGCCTAAATTGGACATGGGCCTAGCCCATTCCTTTCCACGTTTCTCTGATAGGCCTACTCATGTTATCGTTGTGCTGTCCAGCTTAATTTTTTTTACCACGGTTATGGCGACACTTTATTTAAAATAAATAAATAGGATATCTCGAATCTTATACTCTCTGGGGTTAAGAGTCTTCTTTGTACACCTCACATGCCATGACGAGTGCTGTTTAATACTTATAATGAAGAAATTACACATAAATGGCAACAATCACGAATTCATGGGCATTGTTAGATGATGCCTGTTGGACTATAATCTTTCCATAATTATGATCCATTTAGTTAGCATGGCTAAATGAATATAATACAATGCCAGACCTTGGGAATTAAATTGTTCATTAGAAAACAGAAGAATCAACATTTCCTGTTATTATGAAAAGTAAAAGAATTACATTTGATCGCCCATTCATCATTTTTTTGATTGGTGGAAGTTGATTGCAGCAAAGCAGATTGTCGCACCTTGCCAAACTCATTGTTTTATGGATACTGTCAGTACCTACATGTATACGTTAAAACAAGTCTGTCGAAGGTTTCTGAACTAGAGACATTCTATTTGTGTGTAAAAACATACAGACACTTCATAATCACTATTCCCATAAAAAACTTTAAGGAAACAAATATCTTACCCCATGCAGCTAAGAAAGCCTTGATCATAAAATTCTGGATGTAGGTGTTAAAGATCTTCACAATAATGAGGTAAGTATTGTACCCTTCCACACCCATCCATGCAATTGAGGACAAAACGAAGAAGTGAACTAGAGCCGTCAGGAAGCCACAGGGTCCAGCTTGGACCTCACGATAATCTCTGATAGAATCCAGAGAGATCATGATGACAAATGTCGTGTAGAGACACATCAAGGTCAGGCACAGACAGATGAAGATCCGGTTAGCCTGTTTTGACCTCAAATCCCTATCAAGATTGTAACATTAAAATCATGTTAAGAAAGCGTCGAAGCAGTAGTGTACCATCATGCATGTACAGCCATACCATCATTTCATCAGCAACCCAGAAGAATAGAAAGGTCACACAACAAGAACAACAAAGTGCGATTAAGGGGAAAATGCTTGTAAAATGAAGAATGGCCACGTGTGTTGAATACAATTAATCTGGGTGTAACTATTCAGGACGTTGTCAAATGGGAAATATATGTACGCCAAAGATGTTCGAAATAAATATGCTTTCTATTCTATGCAAACTGCACACCATGAGGCAGAGGATCTGATCTACGAAGTTGATAGAATATCAATATATAATATTGCTATGATATAAACAAATTAATATTGTAACCTATTTATTACCCTCGTCACACCATCTCTAAATTCACCAAGCAACTAATCATATTATGGCAGTTTCTCTTCTTCTTCCTCTTCTTCTTCTCCTCCCCATCCCCTTCCCCTTTCTATCATGAACTGTACATTGTTGATAGTAGTTCTCAACATCATTGCTGATCCGAACAGAAGTGATGCCGAACAGAACTGTTTTATTTCACAAATCATTTGATTCAGAGATACTTTTATACGAAAGGGGGGGGGGGGTATTTGAATTTGCATGATTATTTAATGAATTCTAAAAATGCATCTCTTTCATAGTTTAAGTAAGTATTCTTCGTTCAAAAGCTACCAAATAAAATCGAAGATAAAACGACCAGAGAATAATTACAAATTCTGTCTCCTTTGTATTACATTAAGAATTGCATATTTTTTTAATGAGCTCACTTGTTCCACAGGTAGGTTGCCAATGTGACAAGAAGACTGAAGATAGAAATACAGCATCCAATGTAAGTCAGGATGTTGTAAGCCTCGATTAATGAATCCTCCTGTCTATGGATATCCTGTAACATGAACAAAATTTGAGCCCAAACTGAAACATCTTCGAATGCTCAAATGAAACTGATTCTTTGCCTCATAAAGTCTATGTGTGGTTCATTGAAAACTGAGAAATTGGGGGGTTATTATAATAGAAAGTGGTGAACCTCATATTACTGATGGAAAAAAAGAAAAGAATATCACTTTACTACCTTTCACGCAAGACACCACACCTTCAAACTTTGTTTGATCTCAAGAGTGAGAATGCCATTCAAACCCAATTGAAGACCAGCTCTACATTCGTTGTTTGGAAGTAAAATTTCAAATTTTCAGTTTTTTTTGTCGGTGGCAGCACCAATAAGGCATTTCCTTCCTTTCTAGCTGCCTCCTCATTCACATAAATACTCACTTTTGCTATGTTTTTGTCCAGATCACCTTATTTCAGGCGCGGATCCAGGGGGGGGGGCCGAGCGTGCCTTGGCCCCCCCCCCCGTAAAAAAAAAAAAAAAAAAAAAAGGAGAGAGAGAGAAGGAAAAGAAGGGAAAGAGGAGAGAAAGGGAAAAAAAGAAGAGGAAGAAGAAAAGAAAAGAGGGAAGAAGGAGATCGGGGGAAGGACTTGCCTCCCCCTTCCCCCCCCCAATAAAAAAATAAAAGAGAAGGAAGGAAAGGGAAAGAAAAAAGATAAAGAGGAGATAAAAGGGAAGGACAAAATAGGAAGAAGAAAAGAAAAGAAGGGGGATATCAGTTGCAATTTTCCCGCCAACAAGTTGTGGATCGAGGGGGGGGGGCAAAAGACCCTAGCCTCCCCCCGACCCCCCCCCCCCCCCCCCGTCCCCGCTAAAAAAAGAGAGAAGGAAGGAAAAGGAAAAGAGGAGAGCTGAAAGGGAACAAAAAGAGGAAGAAAAAAAGAAAAGGGAGAAAAGAAGCGGAGATCAGTTGCGGTTAATCCCGCCAACAATGTGTGGAGCGGGTTGGGGACCAAAATGACCGTGCCCCTCCCCCCCCCCAGCAAACCTAAAAGAGAGATAAGGAAGGGAAGGGAAAGTGAAAGAGGAGAGAAAGGGAAAGGAAAAAAAAGAGAATTAAGAAAGGTAAGGGATATCAGTTGCAATTTTCCCGCCAACAAGGTGTAGATCGGAGGGGAGGGGGGCACTGGCATACTGATAGGGGAGGAGGGGGGGGGGGGGGGGGGGTTGGAGAAATATAATTCAAACGTGGTTTATTTATAATTCCATAACGGTGGTTAACAAATAATGCTAAAATGAGATAATTTTCCTCACTTCATGCGTTTGTTGGAAAATGACAAATTCCTAAATTTACAGCCAGGCAAGAAAATGCTTCTTGAGATGCCTACATATCAGGGCCCGCGGAACGGCGGGGATCGGGATCCTCGAGCCCCTCCCCCACACTCTTTTTGAAAAAGTATATTAAAGAGAAATAGAAAGAAAGAGAGCGAGAAAGAAAAAATAGTTAACTGCCAGTGTCACATTATAATGGGGTATCAAAATATGCTCATCTGACCATGATTAAAATTAATGCCTAAAATCCTAAGGGCTCTGCCCCCTGGATTCCACCTACGGCCCTAAGGCGGGCCCTTAGATGCTCATATGACGGTCATTTAATGCCTAAAACCCCTGATTTCTGGGGGCTCTGCCCCCTGGACCCCAAGCCAATTAGTGACCTGCCATTGTAACAATTAGGTATCAAAATAATGCTCATCTGACCGTAATTAAATGCCTAAACTCCTGAACTTCCGGAGCTCTGCCCCCTGGACCCCGTCTAGGGCGCTAAGGCGGACCCCTGAATGCTAATCTGACCGTAAATTAGAACCTTAAACCCCTGAGCTTCCGGGGCGGACAAGGTATCAACATATGTTCATCTTACAGCAGGCGGGTAGCCAGGGGGGCGGTGGGGTGGTCCCCCAATAAACGCCGGCCAAAAAAGAGAGGAGTGTAAAGGAAGAGGACGTAGGAAGAAAAGGGAATAGACAAAGAACATATTTGAAATTCAGACAAGGATTAAGAGTCGAGAACGGTACAACGAATTGTCTTCTTTCTCTAATGAATTAATGAAACGTCAAAGCTTCCGTGCTACGCGCGGGGGAGGGCAGGGGGAACTTAATTCAGACGAGGATAATTTTCGGGAACGGTACAACGAATCGTCTTCTTTCTATAATAATTTAATGAAACGTCGAAGCTTCCGAGCTTCGCGCGGAAGGGGGGGAATCGATTTAGACAAGGATTAAGAGGAGTCGAGAACGGTACGACGAATCTTCCTCTTTCTCTAATGATTTAATGAAAAGTAAAAGCTTCCGCGCTTCGCGCGGGTGGGGGAAACTAAATTATTTTCGAGAGCGGAACAACGAATCGTCTTCATTCTCTAAAAATTTAATGAAACGTCGAAGCGGGGGGAAAACTGAATTTAGAAAAGGATTAAGAGTCGAGAACGGTACAACGAATCGACTTCTTTCTTTAATGATTTAATGAAACGTAAAAGCTTCCGCGCTTCGCGTGGGAGGGGGGAAACTGAATTTAGACAAGGATTAAAAGTCATAACGGTGCAACGAATCGTCTTCTTTCTCTAATGATTTAATGAAACGTACAAGCTTCCGCGCTTCGCGCGGGAGGGAAGAGGGGAAAACCGAATTCAGATGAGGATTAAGAGTCGAGAACGGTACAACGAATCGTCTTCTTTCTCTAATGATTTAATGAAACGTAAAAGCTTCCGAGCTTTGCGCGGGAGAGGGGGATGAATTAAGACGAGGATTAAGAGTAAAAAACTGTACAACGAATCGTCTTCTTTCTCTAATGATTTAATGAAACGTAAAAGCTTCCGAGCTTTGCGCGGGAGAGGGGGATGAATTAAGACGAGGATTAAGAGTAAAAAACTGTACAACGAATCGTCTTCTTTTTCTAATGATTTAATGAAACGTAAAAGCTTCCGCGCTTCGCGCGGGAGGGGAAAAACTATTTTCAGACGAGTAGGCACGTACGGAAGGGGGGAGGGGGTTAAGGGGTTGACCCCCCCCCCCCTTCGGTTTTTTATGTGTGTATTTTGGAGCAACCCCCCCCCCCCTTTTCTGTGATTTTTTTTTTTTTTTTTTTTTTTAATTTAAAAAAAAAATGAAAAAAATATGCCAATGACTGACCTAAAAAAGGTGACCTCATCCCCCCCCCCACGGAACAAAATGTCAAATTTTCAAATTTCGAGACCAAAAAAAAAATAGTGTCCTCTTCCCCCCCCCCCCCCCGCTTATATAGGGGCTGGCTTTAATAGTCGTTACGATTTTTTTTCGGACCAAAAAAAAAAAGTGGGCCCCCCCCCCCCCCCCCTAAGAAATCCTGGATCCGCGCCTGCCTTATTTTGTACTATTATCTTATGTAATGTTTGTTTATTTTGACTATATATCTTGTGATTTTGTATGTTATTGTATCTAAATGTTTTTTTATGATGAATGGAATAAACTTGATTATCTATCTAATTGCAAAAGGGGATGAGGTCGAATAATGACCGCTCTTCCACAACTACCTGTTACAAATGTAGTATTTTTTTTTACCTGTCTCGAAAGAAACTAGCTAGTAGCCGTATCCATTCGCATTACAGCAGGCGTAAGATATATTATATAGTACGTAGACCATACTACTATTTAATCCGTAGGACCAACTATACCCCTGGGTCATCTAGAGGATTATCACGCTATAGCTCTAGTAACCTACTGCGTTTAGTTAGTCGGGTTATAGTTGTCCGGGGATTGGTTAAATGGTGATAATGTATATAATAATTGCCTAATTGCTTTGCACTGACCATTATAACAGCGAAGTTGGTAAGATGATCACACGCACAGTGCACACTCTCCTCATCATAGCGCTCATCAGATGTTGTGAATCCAGAAACAAGAACACATCCATCTTGGGACCAATCTCCCTGCTCCTCATCCCAGAATGAACACATAGGATTCACGTATCCAGACTACAGAACAACAACAACAAAAACAGCAAGAAATGCATAGAACCATAATAAAATTTGTTAAATAAGGCATGAAAGAAGAATGAATGATAATTTTGATTGCTTTATTTTAAAAGCCCATTTATCATGAGGGGAATCAAACACAGGAGTTAAAAAAGAAAGAAAATAGATTGAAATACATATAGGGTTACATTTTCCCCTATACAATTATGTATGTCTACAAATTCAATTATCTATAAATACTGCTAAAGGCAGATTACAAATACGAATAATACATGCAAAATAAGACATTTATTGTTATAGATCTTACCATTATTGTAGTGAAGGTAAAGTTGATGAATTCGGTCAAGGCTGCTACTTTCCCTTGGCCAATACTGAGAGAAATCACGGGCGAGTTAGCCGATCGATTGAAGCCTTCATTGTCTGCACTGAATGTGCGCAATGATTTAGAAATGAACAGGGCTGGAGTTGAAAATACATTGAAGATGACGCGGACGTATTCACCACTGCCATTCGACGGCGATCATGAGAGTGGGGCCGTGGACGAAATGACGGATGAACTGACTGAAGGTGGACTGTTGACCTGAGCGATGATTTCTGGTCTGGTAGCAATGACGTCATTGCGGTCATCTCGGGTCGGAGCATTGATGGTAATATTGGCCTTGGTCAGGTCTGAAAGACTGGATCCAGCTAGCGAAAGCACAAGACCACGCATTACGTCGTCAGTAGGTACACTCTGGACCTGTTATGTAATTAGAACTTCAATTATTATTAGTAGTAGTATTATTGTTGTTATTATCGTTATCATCATCATCATTATTTGTATCATTACTATCAATCATTACTATCAATATCATCATTATTATAAAAAAAATTATTTTTTAAATTAACAATAATATCAATATTACTATTTTGTTATTGTTATTATTATTAATATATTCATTATTATCTGAAAATAGGGAACTGGGAGAGGGAACCTTTGCTCATGCAGAGCCTTCGCCGTGAATTCTCTCTTGACAAATTCGTAAAAGCAGATTAGTTGAGGTGTAAAACAATAATCTAAAATAGTTTCCATTTGGATTGGAATATAATTAATTGTTCCCTTTTATTACATTTTTCTGTAGTTTGTATAAAATGCAGATGCTTTTATGTGATTTCTCCTTCGAACTAGTCCACCTTGAGTATTTGATTTCAAGTTGCTTTGGCGCCTTACAAATCGAATATTATTATTATTATCATTATCATCATTATTATCATCATTAATATTATTTGTATTATTGTCATCACTTTTATCAATAATCGAATTATTATTCTTATTAATATAATTATAAATTATTTATATTACATTTTACTAGTATAATCATAATTAATATCCCCTCGCCGACGAAGTCGGAGGGGATATAGAAACGCTACCGTCCGTCCTTCCTTCCGTGCGTCCGTCCGTTCGTTCGTAACAAATTTGGTTTCTGATCGATAACTACAGTAATGTTTGACCGATTTTAATGAAGTTTGATATGAAGGTACAGGGTATCAAAATACAGGCTATGTTCGATTTCGGAGTATGTAGGTCAAAAGGTAATAGCTCATTAAATTTGCGAAAAAATACACATCTGGTTTCCGTTCGATAACTTTAATAATGTTTGACGAATGTGAATCGAATTTGATATGAAGGTACATGGTATCAAAACACAGCCTAAGTTCAATTTCGGAGTATGTAGGTCAAAGGTCATAGCTCATTAAATATGCGAATCTGGTTTCTGTTCGATAATTTTAGTAATGTTTGACGGATTTTAATGAAATTTGATATGAAGGTTTATGGTATCAAAACACAGCCTAAGTTTGATTTCGGAGTATGTAGGTCGAAGGTCATAGCTCATTAAATATGCGAATCTGGTTTCCGTTCGATCACTTGAGTAATTTGACGGATTTTAATGAAATTTGATATGAAGGTTCATGGTATCAAAACACAGCGTACGTTCGATTTCGGAGTATGTAGGTCAGAGGTGAAAGGTCATAACTCATTAAATATGCAAAAAAGCCTAATTATATATGTAAAAATGTGGTTTATAACTTCCTTGTCTGGTAATATAATAGTATAGTCTAATGGAGGTAACTTGTTCTGACGTACATCGGCCATTTGTACCCTGCGAGGGGATGCTACGCTTTGCGTTGACTTGTTGTTATTGTTATCATTATTGTTATCATAATTATTATTATCTTTATTGATGATGATTGAAAACGAGGTGATTAGCACCATGCACATACGTTCAAGTAAGGCGTCCCCTAGATTCAAAATGTGATGTATCCCGCACATATAAATGCACAAATAATGACGTTGTTTGGTAGATCTAAATTCAAGTATAAAGACAAATGGTGGAAGTGTCGTGCCTTGTTGGACACCAGATTGAATGAGACCATAATGGATGAGTGGCAGTATCAGTTTTTGTTAAATTCTTTTATTTTTAATATCCATGCAAACAGTTATATAACTTGGACATAAAATTTCAGTATACTCGTTGAAATCAAATTATTTTTTCACAGCCTATGATATAAATGTAAAATCACCTGTACGGCTACATATGGCTGCTGAATGTTGAGCATCTCACCATCGGCAACCTCAACACGACTTATTTGCTCCTCAAAAGCCTGGACAAATTTACTTATTGCCCCACCTTCTTCCTCTGCGGCTTCAAGTTCCTCTGTTTTTACCTGAGCTATATTGCTCATAATACTCGTTATAGACTTTGTTACCTGTCAATTCAAACACAAAAGATGAAGATGATTTAAACTATAGTAGGATAAAGTTGCCAAATCTCGGAAATCAAACTGAATGATGATAGGGTATTAAATAACATTGACAGCCTTAGCACACCTGTTATTTTAAAGCTGTTACACAACTTCTGGAAGAAGCAACTGCCAAGGGGTTAACAAGATATGAAAGGACAGTGACAGAACTAAATCTGCCATAGAACCAATAAAATATTATAACATTTTCAAAAAAGAGCCTAATACGGGGTAAAGCTCTAGTAAATTCTTCATTCACATTTAGTTTAGCTTCAAGGCGTCCAATATTGTTAAAACCAGTTATGGGATTTACCTCTTTCACATCTACGACAATTTTATACATGTATCGGAGAGAAGACTCCAATTTGTTCCCCATTAGATAATTATCGGAACAAAATAAAATTCATCAACAATCGCAACTTCTTGTTCAATAGGAATAGTCTGGCCTCGGGCAGAATACCTCTTCACTAGTAAGATTTTGCTGCACAATTTTTGATGTTATATCAGCCACAAATGTGATGTCATCTGATGTGATGTCTTCAAAGTTGGAAGTAACAGATGATACTTGCTGGCTCACTTCACCTGCGTTTTCTTTACCTACGATTACCTAAAATTTGAGGAGAATATATCATTACAGCATGTACATGCATGTACAATGAACCGGTTGATGGTAGATATTATAATCGCCTACGGCTGCAACTGATTTTAATCAGAGCAACATCTTATAAATGCAATAATTCGGTAAAATTCTACTATTTCAAACTATTTTATTGTCCTAAATGCCGTATCAAGAGTTCATGAATGAAGATAAGTAGGCCTGTTGCAAGTGCTTCTATTTTAGTATTGTCAATGAATATGACTGAGAATATTTTGCCGCCTTGACTAAAAATCGTCCAATGCATTTGTGAATGGAATGACATTAATACATTCAGTAGAATTGATTGACCATGGGCTATTCATTACCTGTTGGGCATGATTTTATAGTTTTCAAATGTAAAGTAAGGATACAATTTATTTTAAAAAGGTGAGTAAAAAAGGGACATGAATGTTTATTGTGTAAAAGTGTTCAGAATGCTTGATAAAAATAACGTACCAAATCGGGTGAAATCTACAAAATGTAAGTCATTTTATACTTACATTTTACTTTTAAAAAGAAATTAAAAAAAATGCAGGTTGTAATGATCAGTGGTATTTCTTATATACTAAACACGATTGCTTTACATATGAAGCTTATTAAAAAGCCTCTTTTCAGTGATCGAAATTTGAAAAGAAAATTCCAAAAACCTGTGCAATTTCGGTGAGAATATCTGTGACATTTCTAAATGGTCCGCAATTATCCACAGGTTGCCACTGGCTTTGGGTAATGCCATCGCCGATACACAGAGCCCGTCCAATGGGTTCATTGGCTGTTCGGTATTAAACACAAACATAAACTTTTATATTTATCAAAAGAACTCTGGCAAACAATCATTACCATATACGAAGTCTATTCAATTTTCTCAAGTAATTCATCACTCTGGAACTATTCAACGCATTCAATAACACGCGCGGATCTAGAATATTAATTTTACGTCCGAGGCTGGGGGCTTCGAGTTTCTGCATTCATTTTCTACGTGTGCCTCTCTTAAATTCAGGGGCTTGAATACCTATGGGGAGGGGCTTTTAGCCTCCAAGCCCCCATCTTGATTCGCTAGTGTTCAATAATGAAGTAAAAACAACTACATCGGTTGGACATCATGATATCGAGGCTATTTTGGAAATAATATTCCGCGTAAATGAGTCGTTTTCCATTCGACTCTCATCACAGTCTAAACAGAATTTGCGTTATAGCGTCGATGTCGTCCATAATCTAGAGCTACTTTTGCAAGCCTTAAAGGGACTCGGTAACATTGCCTCAGATTCTGAAACAAAATCCTGGATTTAGCTCATGCTGCAATCATAATTATACACCTTGAGGTCAGTCAGGAATCCCATGACTTTTACAAGCCGATCACCTGTCTGATTATCAAGATATTTATGATTGGAAATCAAAATCAAATTTTGCGTTTTCCTAACACTACAGTCTTTTGGGGAAAATGAGTATGGTAAAACCGGTCACTCAAAGATTTTTACTTTTTTGAGCCACTTCATGATCACTGTGAAGCGCAATTTTGTTACGGCTTCAATATTACACCATATCACAGACAATGCTAACACGTAGGGTCATGCATCACAGATTTAACATTGTTAAACGATGCCTTTAAAGTAGATATTCATTGATTTTAAAAACTAACTTTATTTTCATTATTGCAAAGTTGAAACTTTGATTCGACAAGGTTATCAAAATTCAATGCTTGGAAACATTCGAAGTACTGATTATCATAAATTACAAAACGCTTAAATACAGCCCCGGCATAGCACCTGAAGAGCTCTCCGAACGCTGCTGAGATGTGTGAGATCACAGTATGGACATGACTTGCACAAGCAGACGATGCCCCATGACATCTCACACATTTTCAGTGCCTGTGTTTTCATCTTCTCTCGAGTTCTTTCTCTTACTTCACAACCGTCAGGCTAAATGTATAATCTATTGCCTCACTCTAAACCCCGTGCATGGTTTTATTTTGATGACAAATGCAACGATACAAAAATAAAGGAATCTGTCGCTTGTAAACACAATAAGACGCCATTGTATATTCAGCTGCACGCGCCGGGGTATGTTCGGCGTTTCAAGAGGGAACAAATGCCGTCCTTAATATCATTCCGGGGTTTTTTCAATTTGAAAGTCTGGTTTCTTTGATTGTTAATTAACCCCTATCCTGTGTATTTACAAACAAAATATTTTAGTTATCAGAATCGGGTCATATCCCCTTTTGAATGGTTTGACATGCCATTACATTTATATACACTAAACTCATTATAATTTGAGAAATAATAGCTTTGCAATTATGTTCATTCTCTATGGGATGTCGTCTGCTTGGGCAGTGTTGGTCCATATAGTGACGTCATTAAAACAACGTTATTTTTCCGGCGAATCTCTCGTATATCCCAGCTGCTATGGAGGTGGTTGTATTTGTATTTTTATAAATCACCCGATATGTAGTTGACCTAAAACTTGTCCGATGGCACTCTGTTAGCTTACCAGTTTCTAGTGATACATTAGTTGACATATTTGTGATCTTCTTTGAATTTCACCTTTAAGGCCTGTTCAGATATGACGCGGAAAAACCGCGGCGGTTTTTTTTTAAAGATGACGTATGTGTAATGTGTAAGTGTAATACGCTTCACATTTTATATTTCTTTTTACACAGAGGTAAGTACATACGCCCAAGACATTTGCTGCGCGCAGATGCCATTCTTGAACACGTTACAAAACAAACCTGTGAGATTTTTTTGCGGCGGTTTACCGCGCCATATCTGTACAAACCTTTAGGGAAATTATCATATTAGTCGTGCTATTCAACATAATGCCCCGTCTACTTCCTCGAAATCAAAATGAATGACCATCAAAACCAACCTTGAGCAGTGTTGAATGGACACATTCCTGTTGAATTTGACCATGTTCCGTTTTCACCCACGTGAAATTTGACTCTTTCAAATCGAGGAGAAATCCATGAGATATTCTGGCAAATAGCTTTACAAAAAGAAAGAATATAAAAGCATCTAAAAGAAAAAAGGCTTGAACGAAAGTCAATTCAATGATTGTTAATCTACAATAAAATGATAGCTGAGAATTGTGCAGATATTATTTTTCGCTAAAAGGTGCCCAATAATAAGGATTCTTAAACGTGCAGCGAGAAGGCGATTTTTTTTAAAACTCGCCAAGGCGCCATTGATTAAGACGGAAGGCGAGAAGGCGAATTATCAAAACATGTCAAGGCGCCATGTTAAAGTTGCAAAAGCGAGAGGGCGTGTCTTAACAACTCGAAAAAAGACTTGTTTAAGCCGAGAAGGAGAGGCTTGTCGTGTAACAAGAATGATAATGAAGGAGTATTTTATCAAACGAATGGTCACAAGGCATTATGCACAGACACACACACACACACACGCGCGCGTACACACACATATATATAATATAGATACATATACATACATATATATATATATGAAAAGCTCGGTTCCAAAAGGTACTACATCCATTTGTTATCAAAATTGATTTTATTTTTGTTTAGCATTAATGCACACATTTCCAGTAGCCTCATACACTGACATTTCCACAAAGCTGAATTTCCCCCAAAAAGTAAAAAATGGCATTTAAAAATCAGTTCGGTTCCAAAAGCTACTATATCCATTCAAGTCATGCATTGTATTAAAAACTTGCATACAGTATGCAATATTTTCGGTTCCAAAGAGTACTTCATCCAATTTCGGTTCCAAAAGGTATTACATGCACAAAAAACAACAACATGAATTCATAAAAAATCTTTGTGCAGACTTAGATATTTTTTTTAAGAGTGGTTGTATGTTTGTATCATACATATAATCAGCCAAAGTATCATTCCAAATTGACATTGCTAAGTATATAATCGCGTTTTTCTCAGAACTTGGATTTATGGATGTAGTACCTTTTGGAACCGAGCTCTTCATATATATAAGTGTTATGTACATACGTGTGCGTGCGTGTGTGTTTATGTGTGTAACACTTCTTGCGTTTCTAACCTAACGTACCAGTGCCACACGTCCAGTTCAGTTGCGTGTCCAGCATAGCCCTACCCCTTCCCCTTTGAAGGCCCATGTAAAATAAATGCTTGCAATGAGTAATAACACAACGGCGGGACAATATACGTTATGACCACTGGATTTTCGCGTCACTTACCCGCCATCAATCTATGGATACCTCACGTCTTTATACGCAATGCTGAATATATAAAATGACTTTCAGAACTACATGTATATGAATGAAATTGGTACCGGTATCCTGAACTGAAATGGTGTTGGAATCGAGAAAGCCGTTCGATTCATTGGCTAGACTCTCAAGAGATAGACCGATAAGATCTTGTGTTTTTAGTGCCGTCATATTGGTCCGCTCGATGTAGATATTCATGTCAGCTTTGACGCTTCCTAGTTTTAGGGCTCTGCATACTACTGTGCTCTCCAACCCAGTACAGATTTGGAGGCCTTGCTCCACCTTTACACAGGTACAAAACAACAAACAGAAAGATAAAACGTTTAATAGATATTTCGCCTTCTAAGACTGTTACTCTTTTGTAAGTTCTTAAAGTATACGTCATAACGGAACAACCTCCGTATGCAATATTTTGTCGATACTATATTCATTAGTTTATACTTGTGGTAGAACTGCATTTGTAATAAACTTGAAGAACTGAGTGAAAGTATCTGTACCATCAATATGAACTGGTATTGTGTAAGATCTGGGAAGGCCGGTCGAATGTTGGGGCTGCTTTTGCTGGGATATAAGTGTATTATGAAGATTTTCAATTAGTAAAGAGAAGGTTGGGTCTTTGGTAAAGGTGAGAAGTAATTTGTGAGCTTACCCATTCTGTTGCCTCAGTTTGGACATGTTGCAAGAATGTCATAGAAAAAACTGTCCCCTGAAAATACTGGTTCTAATGGTTTAAATTCATCAAATTCGAAATACAAGGCGAAAGCCAGATGTGTCTGGCAGACTGGCACACCTCTAACCAAATAACATGAATGTCGTTAAAGAGCATCACTGACTGAAGTTTTGTTGCACCTACGAACAATGTATTCAAAGTTACTAGTCGTGCATGAGTCTTTTGGATAAAAACTTACAGCTTAACCGAAAATTATCTGAAGTATGGTCACAATATAGAATAAACAGTTGCAAATTTATTTGTCACAAGAGAGCTCGCAAAATGAGCTGACCCTCGAAAGCGCCATAATGTGAAGGTCCCGAAGTGCATCTCTACTCAAGTTTGTTCAAAAGAGCATTAATGGTTGCCGAGTTTTTTTGTCACAAGAGAGTCATATTTTGCAGGTAAACTTTGACATTTGTCATAGGCGACGGGGGAAGAACGCCTACCGGATCCCTTAGTGGCTTAGTCTAGTCTCTACCTTCGGATAGTGAGGAAAAAGCTGAAAATTTTCATGCTACATGTACGTGCAATCAGCCTTTAGCCCTTTACCAATTGCTGCTAGGAAACTTGTTTCACAATCTACTCACATCCTAGAATTAAACAGTATTTTAAACCCAAAACAATATGAGGCCTTGCCTTGCATAATGTCACAAGAACGAGATCGGCATTTTAAATATGCACTACTAATTTTGTTTAGGATATGCTTACATAGGTGCTGATGTTGAACGCCGTTTCTCTATACAGTTTAGAAGTTTGGTCATAAAGCTCATCGCGGAATGGAATGGCGAATCTAGCATTCAAAACTTTTATATTGGTCAGATCTGAAAATACAAACATAAATAACAAGAATCAATGGCAGATTGAGGGGAGGGCACAGGGGGCGCCCCCTAGCCTGAATAAGAGGGGTGAAATGAGGAAGAAAATGACCGATGACTGAGGGGGGCGGGGATGGGGGAGAGCTTCGTCAGAGCATGTTCAAGGTAAAATGGAACATCAAAAACCTGATGATTATTTGCAAAGTTTAGAGACCATGGCCAATTTACACAGGCCTATACTACTTTGGTTTAATACTGAGGATATTTCAGTCGTTAATAAAATAAGCCTGCGAGCTGCATGCTGCCCGCATGAAACTTTTGCAATCACAAGGGTATTTCACGCATTTCGAGGGCAGATATAAAAGCTGGCTAGAGTGCACAGGTCGCCTTGATTAAAGGCTAGACACAACCCTACATGTTGTTATTTTTTTTTCTGTTTTTGGCCTCTTGCAAAGTTTTTACCTTTGACATATACAGATGCTGGCATCGTGTCTAAAGTTTCTCCATTTCTCCCTGAGCCTCGGCAGAAGTAATACCCGATGTCACTGGGCGCGACAGACAAGATTATCAAAGGATTCTGATTTTCACTGTTGGGCAAAAGGACATCATCTCTGTACCAGTGGTATCGCTTGGCATTGTTGAAACTACATGTCAGCTCCACATTAGCATTGATGTTGACTATCTGGCTTGACGGATGGATAGAAACCTCCAAAGGAACTGTATTCCAGGTAGGAATTAGAACATACGACGGCGAGTGAGGTAATTCATTATCAATGTAGTAGTAGTAGTAGTAATAATAATAATAATAATAATAATAATGATAATAATAATAATAATAATAATAATAGAAATAATAATAATAATGATAATAATAATAATAATGATAATAATAATAATAATAATAATAACAATAAAAACTATAGTAATAATAACAACAAAAATAATGATAATAATAGTAATTAAAATAACAAGAAGAAGGAATAGAAAAGGAAAAAAAACAAATAATTATGATAACCATAATAGTAATAACAATAAGAATAATAATGATTATATAGATAGACGGATAGTCAACCTGTTCGAAACGTCGAGCCACTCATCCTCTCCAAGCGCTATAGTTCTCCTTAGAACTATAAGCTAAGAAAGATAACAAAAAGTCCTTTTCAGGACTACACATCCCCAGGAAAGATTACTGAGTCAGAGTCCTTTTCAGGAATCCTCAACCCGCTCTCTCTCTCTCTCACACATGGCGCACCCGCAAGCCTACTGTATAGATATAAATAATACTAATACCCTATTACTACTACTACTACTCCTCCTCCTCCTCTTACTACTACTACTACTACTACTACTTCTACTACTACTACCACTCATTATACTACTACTCCTACTAATAATAAAAATAATGATAATTACAGCTACATTTATATATACGTAAATACTCAGGGGATGCTTAAGGCACCAACAAAATACTATTTTTAGCCCTACACTTGCTACAAGGCCCTGAAAGCATTCAACGAATGAATTCCTAACATGTAACTATTTTCTAAACCTGGATAGATAGTGACAAATGTGCATTAATGAATATCAACGACAAATGAATAAAAGCCTCCCCCCTAAAAAGGGAAATGGTTTTGACATTTTCTTTCATATCCAAAGATGATGACAAGATATTTGATTTACTTATCCAGAAATGAAAAAATGTGTTTAATCATTTCTAAGGGTGAAACATTGAGTCAAATCAATTTCAAAATGTTAGTTCCTATTCACCCGTCTTACAAAACGCTGTGAATCACGGATTTGCAAAACGTAATACCTTTAAGATTAAATTGAATTGAATTCATTTATTCGCCACCATCGAAACCATTGAAACAAAAGATATAGAAATGTAAAATGACAATATAACATAAATACAAACATGACATGACTTAAACAAATTTATAAAAACAAAATAGTTATAAGTAAATTTTGTGTCAAGAGTAAAACAATAAATGACCATTTTCAATGAGTTTGTGATCGATGGTAAAATAGAGTCAGAAATAGCACATGTGCTAGTCGAACCTGACTCTCGTTATCTTAAGCCTAAAATAAAGCAAAAGAAGAATACATGATGGGTTTTCAAATCCTATAGATAAGAACAGTGTATAATATTACAATCCAAACAACCAGCCTGGTTGCTATATACAGCTATATAATTAGAGTAATTTTGTAATCTTTTTACGAAAGGAGGTTCTTGATCTTTCCATTCTTAGATTAGTTGGAAGCATATTCCAAAAAATTACTTCCAACAAACGAAACAGAAAAACTTTCCTTGGTCTGTTTTGAATGAAGGAAGACGTAATTTTCGACCCGTTTTTTTGTCTTGTGGAATATTCATGTTGTATCATACTGCAATAATGTTTTAAGATACATATAAGTAAATCTAAAGATATGACTTACGAGTTGGTTCATCACAATGGATCCCCTCATAATAATCGTGGCATTCACACTCGTACTGTCCCTGCCCGATATGACTGCAGACACCATTGACACACGGGTTTCGTTGGGTGCAAGGATCAGCAGCCTTACCTGTCAAAAGTTAGTTTTAGTAAAATTGTGGTAGCATAAAAAGTACAAATGAATGTGTGCAGTTTTAATTCTCAGCTTTTTGGGCAACATTGTCTAGACATATTGTTATGATTGATTTACTTTCAAGAGATGAAGGGGGTAATCTCAAAGGGAAAAATGCAAAGATTCAACCACTGACGACAACTTAGAAGCTTCTAATGTTAGTCGCTGCGAGAAAGACCGAGATAATTATATTTGCCCAAGGTTCATTTTTGCTAAAGGTTCTAATAATTAACCATTAGTTTCCTTTGCACCGAAATACTATTTGACATATACAAAGAATCCGATAGCACTTAAAGATAAAGACCAGTTATGGTCATGCGATTGCATTGTGAAAGAAACGTTGTGGAATAGATCAGAAAAGGTTGATCATCTAGTATATAATTATTGGTGTGTACAGCAAGGTGCTGGAATCATCAAAATGATAAGAAATTTGGCCCAGTCTTCGTAAAGTTACAAGCACTGTACATAGAAAGATGTATATGAGACTACGCCCACGTGCGCGACACGTGCGTTTATCTCTCACACACCAATAGATAAACTAATTTACCACATATATCAATTAGTAGGCGGTTTCCCGGCAAAATTGTTATCAATATGTATTAGTTAAAACATACTCTTTCACATGATTGGTAATAAGAGCTTCCATTTCATTCTTTTTTAAATTGGGGCGTTTCCAATACTGGTCTTTACCTTTAACGTATGTAACAATATATTTCCATACCTGTACATATCATGCACCAAACTTTAGTTGTAAAGACATTTCAACTCAATAACAAAACCTTTACCTTTCAATGAGGGAAAGTCATAGCTGAGAAGATAAAAATTATATTTAGTGAAAAGTATATTACAGGGGAACGATTGTAATTCATTAATTTGAAAATACTAAAATATAGCAGTTGACAAATATATCTCAATTATGCGAAACCTTCACACCAGATAGACACCAACTTAATTATGCAATTTGCGTTAATTTGCGATGGCCATGTCATGCTGAGAAACTGTAGATTATTCTTGCTTTATACGTTTCTCATACACTTTGGTGGTTAATCTTGCAGATTAATGGGCAAGAAAATAATAAATCTCCACTAAAGTTATTCCTTGGGGTGAGGATTCCTTTAAAGGCAATGTCTCATTTACAGGCCAAACAAAATGAAACGGTTAAATTTCAACGGCATTTGAAATATAATAGTAATTTAGAACTTCCCTCGAAACGAAAGGGCTTGAAATGGTCTTTTAGTGGGAAAATAACGAGCATTATAGTTGTCAAATCGACTTTAGTGATTGCAATCATTTTAGTAATAGTCTGATTTTCAGACCCCTTGTACCAAATAGTCGTACGTTTTGTGCTGCGCAAAGATTCAATCAGTTTAATTTTGGCCATTACAAAGAGTGGGTTATTTATGTAGACAAATGCTCATGTACCTTTACAACTCATTTTGTGTATGTTATTACCAAAGAAAGAAAAAAAGTCAATCAGTCACTTAATAGTGTCTGGCAGTAAAGTCTAGAAAGTAAACGGGTTCCTTGCATAATCTGAATAATAGAACACTGCTAATGCTAGGTTCCCACTGTTGTGCGATCCGTTACGAACCCCAAGATTGGCCATTCGTAACTGATCGTGAAACTTCTCTGAAATGTCAGGTTTGGATACGAGGTGATGCGAGTCGGTACGTTCTAGTACGATTTGGTGCGCTTGGATGCGATATGGTCACGATTGGTAAATTTCAGGTGACACGATCTGGTCTCCCATTCAGATATGATCATATACGTTGCGATAGGATTGTCCCGATTGAGTCCACGATTGGGTCTCGTTGTGACACGATCATCACGATCTTGAAATTCTACAGAGTAAACACTTACAACCCACAACCATTGATGATGGAAGGATATGGAAACGTTTGCTTGGATTTGTGTCTTAAAAGAAGTTGGCCACAAACTGACTCCCACGCAGTGTTGAGTGATTAGAGGTCACGGGCCACTTGGCTTCATTGGGTAGGTAGTTTCCATTATGTGAATGGGTAAATTAACTATGACACAATGAGGGGAGAGGCACAGTACATGAACGATAGGAACACGGATTGTTTTTGTTGTGCAAAACATAGTATTTTATTGACTTACTTATTGAATGAAACTATAAAACCCAAAGTGCAATTTGCGTTCTGGCAATTGGAGTACAAAGAATAATATCAGGTGAATGAAATGCTTCAACACCGGCACCTGGAAAGGAAGCATCCATAAATTTGAATACATTTAGTTGATAAACGACTCCGAGTATTAGTGGAGCAGAAAGCAGTGGATTCTTAAAAAACAACACGAACTCATTTAGCAGAATGTCGATACGTAAATGAAATTTGGCGCGGTTGGAAAATGCATCTTTCTACTCTGCGACTTTAATGGTAATTCCAGTAATTTAAAACCGTAAAATGGCTCTTATTCTAAAATTACTCATTAAATAAAACCCAAAACTTCAGTGGTATGAGACAACATATATTTTATTTTACTAATAATTAAAAAAGATGTATAAACATTGAGAAAGAGTAGCATTTTACGATAAAAGACGCCGATTAAACGATGTTGACGTCATTAGAACCTGTCTTTTCCTCGTGCATCCCGGACTTCAGATGCTGAAGGTTATTTGGTCAAGTGTTTTTGTTTCCTTTATTCCGACAACAATATACAATCAATCAAAACAAGTTCAACACCAGAAGAAAGCTAACTATTAAAATATTCATTAGCCGCTCACCCCAAAGCCGCCTGACCACAATGGATAGAGTGAGAGCTTGCGAGAGCGGCCGAAGTGTGATTGAAACTCGCTATTTTGCTCTTCTCCAATGCAAAAAGAGACGACATTGTGCTGGTTTTCTATGTTTTTTCTCCCAACTATATTATTACAATTCAATTACATTTTAGGTGAATGTAAATCGTCACAAAGCAATAAATGGCTTCATATACCACTCCAGACACTTAGGTGTTGACAGATTTTTAAAATCCTGTCTTATGTCTTGTTTTCATGGGAAAACGGTTGGGAAAATTCAAAAATGGTTGGTAGAATAGAGGGTGTCGCACAGTGACGCCTTCAAAGAAAACCACAAATGTGTTTGTGGTTTGAGAATTTTTCCAGGATTTTTTGCATGTTAGAGGGTTAATACAGTAGAAGGAATATAATAAGTAACATTTTCATACACAAATTACCCAGTTGTTTTATCAACCTTCAACACTGTTACCGAGTCACTTTAATTGTATGGCACTATTTGTTACACGCTATAAAATTGTAACAGCTGTATGTATATATCTGTCTATTATGTTATCGAAAAAAAATAAAGTTGGTATCTATCATCTTCTGATTGTATGGGCACAACTTTCTATTTCAAGTCTGCAAATTAATGGTACACATGTTTACATTACCATTCCATGGTAGGGAGAGAGTGAGAGAGAAATAAAAGGAAGGAGAGAGAGAGAGAGAGAGATAGAGAGAGAGAGAGAGAGAGGGGGGAAGGAAGATTAACAAGAAGTAGAAGAGAGTGTGAGGTTGAATATGCTGATGGAGTGAAGGAAAAGGAGTTATTATGATTTAGGACTATAAAGAGAGTGATGGTGAATGAGAAACAAATTAGATGGTTGAGAGAGAAAGAGGAGAGAGAAATATTAAAAAAGAGAGCAAAAGAGAGAAAGTGTGTATATATATATATATATATATGGGCGCGAGAACTCGTAACAGATCGTGTACGTCCGTGAAAAAGCGTGACTTATCGTGTCTACTCGCATTTACTCGCATTTACTCGTATCAACATGTATCTGCTCGTGAGTCATTCGTGTCAGGTCGTGAGCAATGGTACCCGACAGAGCGTCACAGATCGTGGCAGATCGCAACACATCTCAACAGAGCGTGGTGTTTGTCTTGTCCAAGGTTGATCCCAATCACCACGATGAGTAATCGCAATTAGATGCGATATGATGCGCTTTGTTACGATCCAATGCGATCCCCAGTATAGTACGATAATACTCTGTAAAGAGGTCTGTACTCAAAAGGAAGAAGAAGAAGGGATCTGATGCGATGATAACGATTGACATTTAATCGTGTTGATCGTATAATTTTTGTTAATCGTCCAAAACTTTCCTATTATCTGATGCGATGATAACGATTGACAATTAATCGTGTTGATCGTATAATTTGTGTTAATCGTCCAAAACTTTCCTACGATCAACACGATTGCCACGACTGACCTCAAGATCTGATAATATCTGATAGGATCACCACGATTTCTTCACGTTTAAGACCACGATTTCAATCGTGACGTCAATCGTGATAGTGGGAACATGGCATAACCTTTCACATTTCACAGATAGGACATATGTGACATATGTGACATATTCATAATTCCTGCAAAGTTCTACATACTTTGATGTTGGCTGCAAATGGGACATAGTACCTCTAAAGTATGTTACAATATATTTCCATACCTTTACTACACAAAGCTCCATTAAATCCTGCAGCACATGTACATGCATTGTTCTCACAGGTACCTCCGTTCCGACATGGGTTGCTACCAGAACAGTCAACTACAGAGAGAAGAGAAGATATCGTAAAATTAATGACTAATATTTAAGTTCACCGTTCACGTTGAAATACATGAATGGCAAGTATAACATATTGAATTAATATCAGGCAATATAGAGACAAATTGAAAATTATGTTAAGATGGGGGGGGGGGGGGGGCAACGGTTGTGAGTTAGAGTGAATGTACAACCTCAAGAATATTTTTTTTTTATCCAATTCCTTACACTCATAATATACCGGATCAATGAAAAAACTTTTAAACATACAAAATAATCATATTAGCACCTGTTACTGTGACAACAAAAAGACAAATCTCAGTGTTTCCTGAGGTATCTATAGATGAGCAGTTCACAGTGGTGTCCCCTATCACGAATATATCATCAGATGAATGGGAGCAAATCACATCCAGTTGAAAATCAACATTGTCAGTTGCAGTTGAATTTAGCACAACAGTAGATGATGAATTGAGTCCATCATCCGTAGTAGAAGATATATTTGGACAGTTCAGGATAGGTGCTTCATCATCTGCAAGATAACAAATATTCAGAGAAATTACATCAACAAATATTTTACGAGAATGGTAACATGTTTGTCAACTTCAAGGAGATGATATCATGAAAAGGAACAGATATTGAGTCGAGATATAAATTGTAAGATACACTTCATTTTATGACCAGGATTTTCTTCACATGATTCAAATTGTTAGATCAAGCAAAATCTCATCGAAATTAGAATTTGTAAAACACATCAAATTCATAAGGATTCATCTTTTAAAAGAAATTACATATCCCATAACCCTCAACCCGATCGTGAAATAAATTTTATAAATAAAGAATAATTATAATATCACCTGTTACTGTGACAACGAGAAGACAAGTATCAGTGTTTCCTGCAGCATCTGTAGATGAACAGTTCACAGTGGTGTCCCCTATCAGGAATATATCGTCGGATGAATGGGAGCAAATCACATCTAGATGAATATCCACATTATCAGTTGCAGTTGAATTAAGCACAGCAGTAGATGATGAATTGAGTCCCTCATCCGTAGTAGAAGATATATTTGGGCAGTTCAGGATAGGTGCTTCATCATCTGCAAGATAACGAAAATTCAGAGTAACTACATCAATTCTTATTTTACGAGAATGGTATCATGTATGTCAACTTTGAGTTGATTAAATAATGTAAATGAATGGATATTGAGTCGAATTAAATAAAAAAGATACATTTCATTTCGTGATCAGGATTTTCTTTACATGATTCAAAATGGCAAATCAAGCAAAAAGTCCTCAAAATTACAGATTGAAGAACACATAAACATTCATAATGATTTATGTTTCAAAAATAAATTCATATCCCATAATCCTAAACCCGATCGGTGAAAGAACTTTTAGACATAAAGTATAATCATATTCACACCTGTTACTGTGACAATGAAAAGACAAGTGTCAGTGTTTTCTGCACCATCTGTAGATGAACAGTTGACAGTGGTGTCCCCTATCAGGAATATATCTTCGGATGAATGGGAGCAAATCACATCCAGTTGAAAATCCACATTATCAGTTGCAGTCGAATTTAACATAATAGTAGATGATGAATTGAGTACCTCATCCGTAGTAGAAGATATATTTGGGCAGTTAAGGATAGGTGCTTCATCATCTGCAAGATAACAGAAATTCAGAGTAATTACATCAATACATATTTTACGAGAATGGTAACATGTTTGTCAACTTTGAGGTGATGATATCATGGAAAGGAACAGATATCGAGTCGAGAAAAGAATTTTAAGATACATTTCATTTCGTGACCAGGATTTTCTTCACATGATTCAATTTGTTATATCAAGCAAAAAATCCTCAAAATTACAAATTGTAGAACACATAAACATTCATAATGATTTATGTTTCAAAAATAAATTCATATCCCATAATTATCAATTATCACTAACAAAGGAGAGAGCACCACAGAGATAAGAAGATGGATGGCAATGGCGAGATCAACAGTACAGAATATGTCATACATCTGGAAGAGCCGAGGCCTATCTCCTAGTCTGAAGGTTCGTCTGCTTCAAGCAACTTCTTTCTCTATTGCGACTAACGGAAGTGAGTCCTGGGCCATGACAACAAATGACAAAAAGAGAGTTGATGCCTTTGAAATGTGGTGCTACAGGAGGCTGTTGCAGGTGTCATGGAAAGATAAAAAGACAAATGTGTGGGTCCTGGAAAAGATTGGAACAGACTTGACCATCAGAAGGGGAACGTTGTTAGTAGATCTGAAGGTGTTGAGAAGCAACGTATCAGGACAACTACCCCCTGGGCAATCACCCCCCGGAAAATTACCCCCCGGAAAACTACCCCCCAAGGACAATTACCCCCCAGAAAATTACCCCCCGGAGAATAACCCCCCGAGGACAATTACCCCCCAAGGACAATTACCCCCCGGAAAATTACCCCCCGGAGAATTACCCCCCCGAGGACAATTACCCCCCGAGGACAATTACCCCCCGGAAAATTACCCCCCGAGGACAACTACCCCCGAGGACAATTACCCCCCGAGGACAATTACCCCCCGAGGACAATTACCCCCCGAGGACAATTACCCCCGAGGACAACTACCCCGGAGGACAATTACCCCCCGAGGACAACTACCCCCCAATGACAATCACCCCCGAGGAATTTGAAATATTGTGACGTACAATGCGAGATTCTCTCCGTATTGCTATTTACCGAAAATTGTATAAACTTTTGATTTTCTTAGTTATTTATGAAGTTCATTTTAGTCTTTTTAAATTATTCAATACGATGTGGGGGGTGGAGGTTATCCAATTCCCCCGTAGTTTTGCCACCGAGTAAAGAACAGAAATTACATTTCTTAGAAATTTAACAATACATTGCGCGCAGATGAGTACGCGTTACAGCAACAATGGCACAACAATTAAATTAGGATGTAAGATTTCATTTATGCATCCTCTGTAACGTTTATAATCAGCTGATCGTGTATTTGTCTTTGTATGTATGGGCCAGGGGCGGCGATCCCGGGGGACGACACGTCGCCCCTCAATTTTTTTTAGGGGGGTCGTCCCCCCCCCCTGATAATTTGAAAAAGTGCACAAAAATAAGTGTATACCAAATACTGACTAAAGACTGCAACAAACTTTTAGGCTCAAGAGGGCCCACGAGTGCAGCGTTTAGACAACAAAAAGTGCAAAAATCTTCTCGCTCGGGAGCTATGCTCCTCGCACAATATTCTTCATATGTACGAGTAAATATTGTAGAAAAGTGAAGTGTGAAAAAGGTATAATGTTTGTTTTTATACTATTGTTTTGCTAAGGAATGTAATTTGTTAATACAACAAAACTTCAAAAACCTGTCACTTCCGTCACCTTCTTCCCTCTCATTCACTCTGCTCCCTCGCACTGGCGTAATGATTAGGGGAGGGGGAGGCTTGTTGCCCTCTAATAAAATTCAAACTTGGTTTATTTCTAATTCGATACCAGAGATTTACAAATGTTGCTGAAATGGCATGGTTTTTCCCTCAGCTTCCACGGGGCTCTGCCCCCTAGACCCCACCAAGGGCCCTAAGGCGGGCTCCTGGTTGCTCATCTGACCGTTATTAAATGCCTAAAACCCCTGAGCTTCATGGGGCTACGCCCCTGGACCCCACGTCAATTTACGCTCCACTTGCTTCGCTCGCTTTGTTCTTCCTGATCGAAAATACTTTAGCGCCCCCCACCCACTTTGAAAAACGTTCCGCGGGGCCTGCATGTACCATGTAGGAGTGGGGGGTGCGGATTTTGTTGTCTGCCCCCCCCCCCAAGAAGTTTTTACTCATTACGCCACTGCTCCCCTCCCCCGGTCATGAAAAGAAATCGCAGCCCCTGGTATGGGCCCTTATCCATGATCCAAAATGAAGGTTTTCTTCACGTTATCTATATATTTATGTTGTCATGCTGAAGTATAATATGTTTTCTTGTACGGTAAATTATTTTGAAATAGAAATTGCCTTCAAGTTATATGTACGGTGCCATGGGAAAAGAAAATAAATATTCGCTTTCTGGTAATTCATCTCATTTGATTTTGTAACTCCAGCGCAGCGTTTTTCAACCGGGGTGCCGCAAGAGAATGTTAGTTACATTGGGAAAACGTTGATTTTGTGAAAAACAAATATCAGAAACAGTTAGAGTACGTAATTACATAAGAAAATAAAGTTTTAAAGATAACAAAGTGTATTTCTTCCTTGCTCGCTGACAATATTTTGACAGCAAGGCGCATGAATATATATTATATCTTTTATTTCGAGATTACGTTGTTACCACACTCATTACATTAAAAACATGATAAATAAGGGCAACGAGAGGCCCGAATATCCTCATATTCGTACATCAAGGTCATGACCGAATACATCACTTTGTATTAATGTACATTCGGCGGCAAGGTACCTGCATACAGTACTTTAAATCGCTTATGATGTGTTGATTACAAACTAATTTTACCAGTTTGAAAATGTCTTCTCCTTTTTTATTCTTAAATGTGCCCATACGTGTGTACATAGCACTTGACGAGTGCCAGAGTCATACAAAATAAGTAGTCTGTGAAGACTTTGGGATTTGGGAGAAACTTTAATTTCTAAAGAGGGTACCTACTTGTACCGTGACTAACAACAAGCTGAAATAACGCTGCTCCAGAGAAATGTATTTCTATGCATTTTGAGAAGCGCTGGACGATTACCCCCCCCCCCCAACGAAACGAAATATCGATCGGCCGAATTTTCAAATTTTGAGACCCTAAAAAAAAAAAATATGTCCTCTTACCCCTGGTAAGAGGTCCTGGGTGGTCCTAGGGGGTAGTTTTCTATGGGGGGGGGGGGATATTCTCCGGGGGGTAAATGTCCTCGGGGGGAATTGTCCTGGGGGTTAGTTTTCCACGGGGGGGGGGGGGTAATTCTCCGGGGGGTAATTGTCCTCGGGGGTAATTTTCCGGGGGGTAATTGTCCTCGGGGGTAATTGTCCTTGGGGGGTAATTGTCCTCGGGGGGTAATTGTCCTCGGGGGGTAATTGTCCTCGGGGGGTAGTTGTCCTTGGGGGGTAATTTTCCGGGGGGTAATTTTCCGGGGGGTAATTGTCCTTGGGGGGTAGTTGTCCTTGGGGGGTAATTCTCCGGGGGGGAATTTTCTGGGGGGTAATTGTCCTTGGGGGGTAGTTTTCCGGGGGGTAATTTTCCGGGGGGTGATTGCCCAGGGGGTAATTGTCCTAGAACCGAGAAGCAAATACTGCAAGGAGCAGTCGAAGGAAAACGGGGTAGAGGTCGTCCACCAATATCTTGGACCGATGATATCAAGAAAGTGTCTGGACAAGGAATGAAAGGTGCAACACAAATGGCAGGTGAAAGAGTTGCATGGCGTAGTCTCGTGAAGACCACAGCAGCGCTTTACAGCGCCACCTGAAGTTGATGATGATGATCCCATAATCCTAAACCCAATCGGTGAAAGAACTTTTAGACATAAAGTAAAATCATATTCACACCTGTTACTGTGACAACGAAAAGACAAGTGTCGGTGTTTCCTGCACCATCTGTAGATGAACAGTTCACAGCGGTGTCCCCTATCAGGAATACATCTTGGGATGAATGGGAGCAATTCACATCTAGATGAATATCCACATTATCAGTTGCACTCGAATTTAGCAGAACAGTAGATGATGAATTGAGTCCCTCATCCGTAGTAGAAGATATATTTGGGCAGTTCAGGATAGGTGCTTCATCATCTGCAAGATAACAAAAATTACATCAATTCATATTTTACGAGAACGGTATCATGTTTGTCAACTTCGAGGTGATGATATCATGAAAAGGAACAGATATCGAGTCAAGAAAAGAATTTAAAGATACATTTCATGAATTGAATTGAATTGAATTGATGACCAGGATTTTCTTTCATGATTCAAACTGTTATATCAAGCGAAAAATCCTCAACATTACAAATTGTACAAAAAAAACATCGACTTCATAATGATTCATCTTTCAAAACAAAATTCATATCCCATATTCCTAAACCCGATCGGTGAAAGAACTTATAGACATAAAGTGTAATGATATTCACACCTGTTAATGTGACAACGAGAAAACAAGTGTCAGTGTTTCCTGCAGCATCTGTCGATGAACAGTTCACAGTGGTGTCCCCTATCAGGAATATATCTTGGGATGAATGGGAGCAAATCACATCTAGATGAAAATCCACATTATCAGTTGCAGTTGAATTTAGCACAACAGTAGATGATGAATTGAGTCCCTCATCCGTAGTCGAAGACATATTTGGGCAGTTCAGGATAGGTGTTTCATCATCTGCAAGATAACAGAAATTCAGAGTAATTACATCAAAAAATATTTTACGAGAATGGTATCATGTTTGTCAAGGACTGGATATTGAGTCGAGATAAATATTGTAAAACACATTTCATTTAATGACCAGGATTTTCTTTACATGATTCAAAATGTTAAATCAAGCAAAAATTCCTCAAAATTACAAATTGCAGAACACATACAAATTCATAATGATTCATTTTTCAAAAATAAATTCTTATCCCATAATCCTAAACCCGATCGGTGAAAGAATTTTTAGACATTAAGTATAATCATATTCACACCTGTTACTGTCAAAACGAGAAAACAAGTGTCATTGTTTCCTGCAGCATCTGTAGATGAACAGTTCACAGTGGTGTCCCCTATCAGGAATATATCCTCGGAGGAATGGGAGCAAATCACATCTAGATGAAAATCCACATTATCAGTTGCAGTCGAATTTAACATAACAGTAGATGATGAATTGAGTCCCTCATCCGTAGTAGAAGATATATTTGGGCAGTTCAGGATAGGTGCTTCATCATCTGCAAGATAACAGAAATTCAGAGTAATTACATCAATTCTTATTTTACAAGAATGGCAACAAGTTTGTCAACTTCGAGGACATGAAATCATGAATAGGAACAGATATCGAGTCGAGATAAAACTTGTAAGATACATTTCATATTATGACCGGGATTTTCTTTGTATGATTTAAAATGTTAAATCGAGCAAAATAATATTCCTCAAAATTACAATTTATACAAATATTAAATTCATAACGAGTCATTTTGCAAAAGAAATACAGTAACATATCCCATAACCTTAAACTCGATCAGTGAAAGAACTTTTAGACATAAAGTATGATCATCTTCAAACCTGTTACTGTGACAACGAGAACACAAGTGTCAGTGTTTCCTACAGCATCTGTAGATGAACAGTTCACAGTGGTGTCCCCTATCAGGAATACATCTTGGGATGAATGGGAGCATTTCACATCTAGATGAATATCCACATTATCAGTTGCAGTTGAATTTAGCACAGCAGTAGATGATGAATTGAGTCCCTCATCCGTAGTAGAAGATATATTTGGGCAGTTCAGGATTGGTGCTTCATCATCTGCAAGATAACAGATATTTAGAGAAATTACATCAATACATATTTTACGAGAATGGTAACATGTTTGTCAACTTCAAGGAGATGATATCATGAAAAGGAACAGATATCGAGTCGAGGTATAAATTGTAAGATACACTTCATTTTATGACCGGGATTTTCTTCACATGATTCAAATTGTTAGATCAAGCAAAAACTCTTTAAAATTAGAAATTGGAATAACAGAAATTCAGAGTAACTAGATTTTAAATCGTCGTTGAGAAGAATTAGGTGACCCGTTAAGTAATTTTAAGTCCACTTCTTGTCTTTGTCAAAATTAAGTTAACTATATCTTTGCGCAGCACAAAACGTAAGACCAAACGGTACAAGGGTCTGAAAATTAGACCTTTTTATACTCATAATCCATGCCAGCGCACATAAATTTATGATCGCGTACGAGACTATTGTCGATGCAGTGATATTTTTATTGATTAACATTAATTCGATTTGAATTGTATATTGTACAGTGTTGAATTGAAAAATTCAAACTGATTGTAAACTTCTCCAATACCCCAAAGTGGGTGACATGAGAATAAATTGTCTTTGTCATTGTCATTGATTGAGCGATTGAGTGATTTTTCGGAGGCTATTTTGAACCCCCGTACGTAAGTTTTTCCTGGCATCTACTAACACAAAGGAGAACATTAAAAGCAATGCATGATAACGTCTTCTTAATACACAGTTATATCCAGAGTTATCATGTGTTTGGTTAAGTTAAGGGGAGGGGGGGTTGACCCAATGACGATGCGGATACTGTGTGGGTCTTGACAGATGATGGCGTTTTTCTATGCACATCACATTTTCACTTGGCAGCCCAAGTTGGGGGCAGGGGGGGGGGGGGGGTTAAATCCCCTAACCCCCCGTAGATCCGCCACTGGAATATCATTTTTCATTTATATTTATCGTGTTCAAGGTCAATATCCGTCCAGTCAATTCTAGGTGAATGTACGTCCGCGCGTTAACGCGCACAAATTTCAAAATGGCTCAAATCGTCCCAAAATTCATTTTGCATACGTTTCAGGCTATTTTGGACATTTGAAAAAAATGTTTCGTCATTTGTAAAACTATTGACAAATAAATGAAGCGAACAAACTAAATATATCTTGTTTTGTCCGATTTTTTTCTCCAAAATCATGGACTTAGAAGTAGAAATAACCTCCAAAACAATTATCGTTGTTTGTCAAACTTTGATGTGGCCCTCTTTTTCAGTGGGGGGGGGGGGGGGGGGGGGGGGGGTGTAGAGGCCAACGATTACCGACAAAACTAGCCCCCAATTACCGACAAAATTAAATGTCCCAATATTTACAAATTTAACTTTATATACCCGTTTTCCTACGGACTATCTATAGTACTTGCGTATGAGCGAATGGTCATTTTCCTCGACGACATAAATATACGAATTATTTCGTCAACTTAGTCAGCATCATAGCTATATATTTTAATGCAGGCGCGGAGCTTGGATCTTATTTTAGAGAGAGGCGGAAATGGGGAGCGAATCACTTAAAGAGCGCGCGAAGCGCGCTCATTAGGGGGTTGTCGGTGATAGGCCTCCCGCGCGTACACGTTTCCTTAAATTATTAGGAAAAGAAGACGATTTATTGAACCGTTCTCGACTGTTAATCCTTGTCTGAATAAAGTTTCCCCTCCCGCGCGAAGCGCGATAGCTTTGGCATTTCATTAAATTATTATAAAAAAGGAGACGATTTGCTGTACCGTTCTCGACTGTTAATTCTTGTCTGAATTCAGTTTCTCCCTAGCTTTGACGTTTCATTAAATTATGAGAAAAAGCAGACGATTGGGTGTACTGTTCTCGACTCTTAATCCTTATCTGAATTCAGTTTCTCTCTCTCCCGCGCGAAGCGCGGAACCTTTGGCATTTCATTGAATTATTACAGAAAGTAGACGATTCGTTAAATCGTCCTCGACTCTTAATCCTTGTCTGAATTCGGTTTACCCCTCCCGCGCAAAGCGCGGAAGTTTTGACGTTTCATTAAATTATTATAGAAAGAAGTCGCTTCATTGCACCATTTTCGACTCTTAAAGCCCTTTTTATCTGAATTCAGTTTTCCCCCTCGCGCGAAGCGCGGAGGCTTTCACGTTTCCTTTAATTATTAGAGAAAGCAGACGATTGGGTGTACTGTTCTCGACTCTTAATCCTTGTCTGAATTCAGTTTCCCCCTCCCGCGCGAAGCGCGATAAAGCTTAGACGTTTTCTTAAATTATTAGAGAAAGCAGACGATTAGTTGTACCGTTTTCGACTCTTAATCCTTGCCTAAATTCAGTTTCCCCCTCTCGCGCGAAGCGCGGAAGCTTTGACGTTTTCTTAAATTATTAGAGAAAGCAGACGATTAGTTGTACCGTTTTCGACTCTTAATCCTTGCCTAAATTCAGTTTCCCCCTCTCGCGCGAAGCGCGGAAGCTTTGACGTTTTCTTAAATTATTAGAGAAAGCAGACGATTCGTTGTACCGTTTTCGACTCCTAATAAGTCCCATTTATCTGAATTCAGTTTCCCCCTCTCGCGCGAAGCGCGGAAGCTTTGATGTTTCCTTAAATTATTAGAGAAAGCAGACGATTCGTTGTAACGTTCGCGACTCTTCCAAATGAAGTTTGCCCCTCCCGCGCAAAGCGCGGAATTTTTGGCGTTTCATCAACATATAGAAAAAGGAAGACGATTCGTCGTACCGTTGTTGACTCTTAATCCTTGTTTGAATTTAGTTTCCCCGAAAATGTTAAACTCCGATTTCTTTAGCTGATATTATAGGAAAGTGAAACTCCGAGAAAATACAAGTATTGTAGTTGTAGTCACTCTCGAAGTCGTCACAGCGGATAAAAAGTCACCGACAGAGTTACATCTCACTGACTTCAAACTTCTGCATTGATATAGTACACGAGGATCGAGCAAGAATACCGACACAGCTGACCCAACACAGCAATATATTTACCCGTGTCTTTCTTGCTCCCTCGACGAGACGACTCCACCCAACAACCCCGCTCTCTCTCTTTTACTCCCACTCCTTTTATCTCAGGCTCTTACCTTCCCTCTCTCATCCCCCGATTCTTTTGTTTCCCTTTTCTCTTTTTTCTTCTTTTTTCCCCTTTTTTTTCTTTTCTTTCTTTTCCTTTCTTTCCTTTCCTCCCTCTTTTTTTTCCTTCTCTTTCTTTATTCTCTTTTCTTTCCTTCTTTTCCTTTCTTTCCTTTCTTTTTCTTCCTTCTTTTCCTTTTCTTTTTTTTCTTTTCTTTCCCTTTCCCTCCCTTTTTCCCCTCCCCCTTTTCTCTTTTTTCCCGACGGCAGCGCAATTTTACGGACAATATCCTGACAGGTGGGGAGGGAGGGGGGGGTGTCGCACCCCACACCCCACCCCCTTTGGAAACGCCCCTGCATGGGGAAGAAAAAGCTAAGAAAGGCAACTGATCTTTCCTTTGGGAGTGAAATATATAAACAAAATGGACGCAGAAATGTATTAACAAGGTCTGAGTTTTAAGACACCTAAGCGCCAAAAGTTAAATCGCTATTATCGGAATGAAAAATGCCACTCTTATCATACCCTAAAACAAATCTTAATAAACAGAGATTGCTGTGGGAACCGATATATCAACTCTGCTCTACTAATGGCCATGCACTCCCATTTCCCCAGGTGCCTACTCGGGGCTACTCATAATGAAGAGAAACAATATTTTTTTTCTCAGTACTGCACCAAAATGTGGAACACCCTTTCCATCTTGTGTCTTTACTTTCACTTCTGTTGACTCTAAATTAAGAAATACCTCACAGAATCTCCACTCTAATGACTAGATATTTCTTTTTTGTATGTTTTGCAATCTTTATGTTTAATTTCTCAATGAGCAACATGCAATTTTGTTTAGAATTTTGCTTTACATAAAGAGTGTATTGATATAGGAATGTAATCTGCTTCAAATTCATTTAAAGCTTACCTGAATCACACCTAATCCCATCATAGCCAGCATCACAGTCACAGGTGAATCTGTCTAGTAAATTGTTACACGCTCCTCCATTCCAACAGGGATTGCTGGCACATTCGTTGATATCTGTGTAAATTGAGTTTCAATGACAATGATTGGAATGAAATGGACTAGAAAATCATTTCCATTATGTCAGATTTTTCTATAAAATTTCAGCGATTAACAGGAATATTAAGTAAAAACTGTCTTTTTTAAATGCAAATTAAGGACAATAGAGAAAGAAACAACTACATTTGTAAAACTATTGATAAATAAATCAAACAAACCAAATCTATCTTGTTCTGTCCGACTTTTTTCCAAAATCATGGACTTAGAAGTAGAAAAAAAATCTAGGAAACAATTATCGTTGTTTTACAAACTTTGTTGTGGCCCTTCAAGAAACAAATTTAAGATAGGCAATTGATCTTTCCTTTGGCGCTATTTGCAATATTTGAAATTTACCAGGAGCACAGGTAAAATTTGGTATATTCAATTATTAAAAAGCAGAAGTGTTTAAGGGGCTAAAAATTTTAGTGCTTATAATTAATCCATATGGGGCATCCAAATATATTAACATTCTAAAAGATTTATAATTCATCCAATTTTCAAAATTTCCAAAAACTTTGCATTACCTTTAAGACACCTTATCGCCAAAACTTGAATCGCTATGGTCGGGATGAACTATATCATTCTTGTCTTTCCCTAAAAAAAACAAATCTTAATAAACAGAGATCGCTGTGGGAACCACAATATCAACTCTGCTCTACTGATGGTCATGCACTCCCATTTCACCAGGTGCCTACTCATAATCAAAAGAAGCAATGTTTTTCTCAGTTCTGCACCAAAGTGTGGACCACCCTATCAATCTTGTGTCTATAATTTCACTTCTGTTGACTCTAATTAAGAAGTACATCAAAGATTTTCCCCTCTAATGACTACATATTTCATTTTTTAATTTCATTTCAATCTTTATGTATAATTTCTTGATGAGCAACATGCGATATTTTTTTTTGGATTTTGCTTTACATAAAGAGTGTATTGATATAGGAATGTAATCTGCTTCAAATTCATTTAAAGCTTACCTGAATCACACCTAATCCCATCATAACCAGCAACACAGTCACAGGTAAAGCTATCAAGTAAATTGTTACACGCTCCTCCATTCAAACAGGGATTGCTGGCACATTCGTTGATATCTGTGTAAATTGAGTTTCAATGACAATCATTGGAATGAAAGTGACTAGAAAATCATTTCCATTATGTCAGATTTGTCTATAAAATTTTGGCGATTAACAGGTAATTCAAGTTTTTTTTAAATAATGAAAATTAAAGATCATTGAGAAATAAACTACTTCATTTGTAAAACTATTGATAATTCAATCAAATGAAGCAACAAACTAAATCTATCTTGTTTCGTCCGAATTTGTTTTCCAAAAATCATGGACTTAGAAAGAGAACTAATCTCCAAAACAATTAGTGTTGTTTAACAAACTTTGATGTGACCCTGGGGTAGAAACAAAAATAAGAAAGTAAAATATATATATATATTTTTTTTTATTTCAATCTTCATGGTTAATTTCTTAATGAGCAACATGAAATATTTTTTTGGATTTTGCTTTACATAAAAAGTGTATAGATATAGGAATGTTATCTCCTATGACTTTATATATAGCTTACCTGAATAACACGTAATCCCATTATAGCCATCAACACAGTCACAGGTGAAGCTATCAAGTAAATTGTTACACGCTCCTCCATTCAAACAGGGATTGCTGGCACATTCGTTGATATCTGTGTAGATAGAGTTTCAATGACAATCATTGAATGAAAGTAACGAGAAAATCATTTCCATTTTGTCAGATTTTCCTATACAATTTGAGCGATTCACAGGAAAATCAAGTAAAAAATGTTTTTTAAATGCAAAATTAATGACAATTAAGAAAACAACTACTTCATTCGTAAAACTATTGATAAATAAATTAAATGAAGTAAAAATAATAAAAAAATAAATCTATTTTGTTTGTCTGAATTTTTCCCCAAAATAATGGACTTAGAAGTATATAAATTCTACAAAATAATTATCGTTTTTTGTCAAACTTTTATGTGGCCCTGGAAGAAGAAAAAAAGCTAAGATAGGCAATTGATCTCTCCTTTGGGGGTTATATAAAAATCAAAATGGACGCAGAAATTTAGTAACAAGGTCTGAGTGTTAAGACACCTATGCGCCAAAAGTTTAAATGCTATTATCGAATCGAAATATGCCGCTCGAATCATACCCTAAAACAAATCTTAATAAACAAAGATCGCTGTGGGAACCACAATATCAAGTCTGATCTACTAATGTCCATGAAATTCCATTTCCCCAGGTGCCCAACTCATAATCAAAAGAAGCAATGTTTTTCTCAGTACTGCATCCGAATGTGAAACACCCTTTCCATCTTGTGTCTGTGCTTTCACTTCTGGTGACTCTCAATTAAGAAATACCTCAAATATATTCCTCTCAAAAGACTACATATTTCCTTTTTTTTTAATTTTATGTTAACCTTTATGCTTAATTTTCAAATGAGCATAATGCAATATTTTTTTAGATTTTGCTTTACATAAAAAGTGTATTGATATAGGAATGTTATCTCCTATGACTTTATATTTAGCTTACCTGATTCACACCTAATCCCATCATAGCCAGCAACACAGTCACAGGTGAAGCTATCAAGTAAATTGTTACACTCTCCTCCATTCAAACAGGGATTGCTGGCACATTCATTAATATCTGTCAGTGTAAATTGAGTTTTAATGACAATCATTGGAATGAAATGGACTAGAAAATTATTTCCATTATGTCAGATTTTTCTATAAAATTTCAGCGATTAACAGGAATATTAAGTAAAAACTGTTTATTTAAATGCAAATTAAGGACAATAGAGAAAGAAACTACTACATTTGTAAAACAATTGATGAATAAATCTTTCCTTTGGGGGTGAAATATATGAACAAAATGGACGCAGCAATGTATTAACAAGGTCCGACTGTTAAGAAACCTTAGCGCCAAAAGTTAAATCTTATTATCGGGATGAAATATGCCACTCTTATCAAACCCTAAAACAAATCTTAATAAACGGAGATCGTTGTGGGAACCACAATATCAACTCTGCGGTACTATTGGCCATGTACTTCTAATTCCCCAGGGGTATACTCATAATCAAAGACGCAGAAATGTAGTAATAAGGTATGAATGTTAAGAAACCTTTAAACCAAAAGTTGAATCGTATTATCGGGATGAAATATGCCACTCTTATCATACCCTTAAAACGAATCTTAACAATCAGAGATCGCTGTGGGAACCACAATATCAGCTCTGCTCTACTAATGGCCATGCACTCCTAATTTCCCAAATCAAAAGAAGCAATGTTTTTCTCAGTACTGCATCCAAATGTGAAACACCCTTTCAATCTTGTGTCTGTGCTTTCACTTCTGGTGACTCTCAATTAGGGAAATACCTCAAATATTTTCCTCTCCAAAGACTACATATTTCCTTACTTTTTTTTTCTTTCAACCTTTATGTTCAATTTTCAAATAAGCATAATGCAATATTTGTTTAGGTTTTGCTGTACATAAAAAGTGTATTGATATAGAAATGTTATCTCCTATGACTTTATATTTAGCTTACCTGAATCACACCTAATCCCATCATAGCCAGCAACACAGTCACAGGTAAACCTGTTAAGTAAATTGTTACACGCTCCTCCATTCAAACAGGGATTGCTGGCACATTCGTTGATATCTGTGTAAATTGAGTTTCAATGACAATGATTGGAATGAAATGGACTAGAAAATCATTTCCATTATGTCAGATTTTTCTCTAAAATTTGAGCAATTAACAGGAATATTAAGTAGAAATTGTTTTTTTTAATTCAAATTAAGGACAATGGAGAAAGAAACTACTACTTTTGTAAAACTATTGATGAATACAAATCAAACAAACCAAATCTATCTTGTTCTGTCCGAATTTTTTTCCAAAATCATGGACTTAGAAGTAGAACAAATCTAGGAAACAATTATCGTTGTTTGACAAACTTTGATGTGGCCCTTGAAGAAAAGAAATGAAGATAGGCAATTGATCTTTCCTTTGGAAGCGAAATATATAAACAAAATGGACGCAGAATTGTATTAAAAAGGTCTGAGTGTTAAGACACCTAAGCGCCAAAAGTTTAATTGCTATCATCGAATCGAAATATGCCACTCTAATCATATCCTAAATCAAATCTTAATAAACAGAGATCGCTGTGGGAACCACACTTTCAAGTCTGATCTACTAATGGCCATGCACTTCGATTTCCCCAGGTGCTCAACTCATAATCAAAAGAAGCAATGTTTTTCTCAGTACTGCATCCGAATGTGAAACACCTTTTCCATCTTGTGTCTGTGTTTTCACTTCTGGTGACTCTCAATAAAGAAATACCTTAAATATATTCCTCTCCAAAGACTACATATTTGCTTTTTTAAAATTTTATTTCAATCTTAATGTTCAATTTTCAAATGAGCATAATGCAATATTTGTTTAGGTTTTGCTTTACATAACAAGTGTATTGATATAGAAATGTCATCTCCTATGACTTTATATTTAGCTTACCTGAATCACACCTAATCCCATCATAGCCAGCAACACAGTCACAGGTAAACCTGTTAAGTAAATTGTTACACGCTCCTCCATTCAAACAGGGATTGCTGGCACATTCGTTGATATCTGTGTAAATTGAGTTTCAATGACAATGATTGGAATGAAATGGACTAGAAAATCATTTCCATTATGTCAGATTTTTCTCTAAAATTTGAGCAATTAACAGGAATATTAAATAGAAATTGTTTTTTTTAAATTCAAATTAAGGACAATGGAGAAAGAAACTACTACTTTTGTAAAACTATTGATGAAAACAAATCAAACAAACCAAATCTATCTTGTTCTGTCCATTTTTTTCCCCAAAATCATGGACTTAGAAGTAGAAAAAATCTAGGAAACAATTATCGTTGTTTGACAAACTTTGATGTGGCCCTTGAAGAAAAAAAGTTAAGATAGGCAATTGATCTTTCCTTTGGAGGCGAAATATATAAATAAAATGGACGCAGAATTCTATTAACAAGGTCCGAATGTTAAGACACCTTAGCGCCAAAAGTTTAATCATATTATCGAATCGAAATATGCCACTCTTATCATACCCTAGAATAAATCTTAATAAAGAGAGATCGCTGTGGGAACCACAATATCAAGTCTGATCTACTAATGGCCATGAACTTCCATTTCCCCAGGTGCCCAACTCATAATCAAAAGAAGCAATGTTTTTCTCAGTACTGCACCAAAATGTGGAACACCATTTCCATCTTGTGTCTCTACTTTCACTTCTGTTGACGCTAAATTAAGAAATACCTCAAAGATTTTCCTCTCCAAGGACTACACATATATTTTTTTTTTTATTTGAATCTTTATGTATATATTTCTGAATGAGCAACATGAAATATTTTTTTGAATTTGCTTTACATAAAAGTGTATCGATATAGGAATGTAATCTCTTATGACTTTATAGTTAGCTTACCTGAATAACACGTAATCCCATTATAGCCAGCAACACAGTCACAGGTGAATCTGTCAAGTAAATTGTTACACGCTCCTCCATTCAAACAGGGATTGCTGGCACATTCGTTGATATCTGTGTAAATTGAGTTTCAATGACAGTGATTGGAATGAAATGGACTAGAAATCATTTCCGTTATGTCAGATTTTTCTATTAAATTTCAGCGATTAACAGGAATATTAAGTAGAAATTGTTTTTTTCAATGCAAATTAAGGACAATAGAGAAAGAAACTACTACTTTTGTAAAACTATTGATGAATAAAAATCAAACAAACCCAATCTATCTTGTTCCGTCCGAATTTTTTTCCAAAATCATGGACTTAGAAGAAGAAAAAATCTAGGAAACAATTATCGTTGTTTGACAAACTTTGATGTGGCCCTTGAAGAAAAGATGTTAAGATATGCAATTGATCTTTCCTTTGGAGGCGAAATATATAAACAAAATGGACGCAGAGTTGTATTAACAAGGTCTGAGTGTTAAGACACCTAAGCGCCAAAAGTTTAGTTGCTATCATCGAATCGAAATATGCCACTCTAATCATACCCTCAAACAAATCTTAATAAACAGAGATCGCTGTGGGAACCACACTATCAAGTCTGATCTACTAATGGCCATGCACTTCCATTTCCCCAGGTGCCCAACTCATAATCAAAAGAAGCAATGTTTTTCTCAGTACTGCATCCGAATGTGAAACACCTTTTCCATCTTGTGTCTGTGTTTTCACTTCTGGTGACTCTCAATTAAGAAATACCTTAAATATATTCCTCTCCAAAGACTACATATTTGCTTTTTTTAAATTTTATTTCAATCTTAATGTTCAATTTTCAAATGAGCATAATGCAATATTTGTTTAGGTTTTGCTTTACATAACAAGTGTATTGATATAGAAATGTTATCTCCTATGACTTTATATTTAGCTTACCTGAATCACACCTAATCCCATCATAGCCAGCAACACAGTCACAGGTAAACCTGTTAAGTAAATTGTTACACGCTCCTCCATTCAAACAGGGATTGCTGGCACATTCGTTGATATCTGTGTAAATTGAGTTTCAATGACAATGATTGGAATGAAATGGACTAGAAATCATTTCCACTATGTCAGACTTTTCTATAAAATTTCAGCGATTAACAGGAATATTAAGTAGAAATTGTTTTTTTAATTAAAATTAAGGACAATGGAGAAAGAAACTACTACTTTTGTAAAACTATTGATGAAAACAAATCAAACAAACCAAATCTATCTTGTTCTGTCCATTTTTTTCCCAAAATCATGGACTTAGAAGTAGAAAAAATCTAGGAAACAATTATCGTTGTTTGACAAACTTTGATGTGGCCCTTGAAGAAAAAAAGTTAAGATAGGCAATTGATCTTTCCTTTGGAGGCGAAATATATAAATAAAATGGACGCAGAATTCTATTAACAAGGTCCGAATGTTAAGACACCTTAGCGCCAAAAGTTTAATCATATTATCGAATCGAAATATGCCACTCTTATCATACCCTAAAACAAATCTTAATAAAGAGAGATCGCTGTGGGAACCACAATATCAAGTCTGATCTACTAATGGCCATGAACTTCCATTTCCCCAGGTGCCCAACTCATAATCAAAAGAAGCAATGTTTTTCTCAGTACTGCACCAAAATGTGGAACACCATTTCCATCTTTTGTCTCTACTTTCACTTCTGTTGACGCTAAATTAAGAAATACCTCAAAGATTTTCCTCTCCAAGGACTACACATATATTTTTTTTTTTATTTGAATCTTTATGTATATATTTCTGAATGAGCAACATGAAATATTTTTTTGAATTTGCTTTACATAAAAGTGTATCGATATAGGAATGTAATCTCTTATGACTTTATAGTTAGCTTACCTGAATAACACGTAATCCCATTATAGCCAGCAACACAGTCACAGGTGAATCTGTCAAGTAAATTGTTACACGCTCCTCCATTCAAACAGGGATTGCTGGCACATTCGTTGATATCTGTGTAAATTGAGTTTCAATGACAGTGATTGGAATGAAATGGACCAGAAATCATTTCCGTTATGTCAGATTTTTCTATTAAATTTCAGCGATTAACAGGAATATTAAGTAGAAATTGTTTTTTCAATGCAAATTAAGGACAATAGAGAAAGAAACTACTACTTTTGTAAAACTATTGATAAATAAAAATCAAACAAACCCAATCTATCTTGTTCCGTCCGAATTTTTTTCCAAAATCATGGACTTAGAAGAAGAAAAAATCTAGGAAACAATTATCGTTGTTTGACAAACTTTGATGTGGCCCTTGAAGAAAAGATGTTAAGATATGCAATTGATCTTTCCTTTGGAGGCGAAATATATAAACAAAATGGACGCAGAGTTGTATTAACAAGGTCTGAGTGTTAAGACACCTAAGCGCCAAAAGTTTAGTTGCTATCATCGAATCGAAATATGCCACTCTAATCATACCCTCAAACAAATCTTAATAAACAGAGATCGCTGTGGGAACCACACTATCAAGTCTGATCTACTAATGGCCATGCACTTCCATTTCCCCAGGTGCCCAACTCATAATCAAAAGAAGCAATGTTTTTCTCAGTACTGCATCCGAATGTGAAACACCCTTTCCATCTTGTGTCTGTGCTTTCACTTCTGGTGACTCTCAATTAAGAAATACCTTAAATATATTCCTCTCCAAAGACTACATATTTCCTTTTTTTTCAATTTTATTTCAATCTTTATGTTTAATTTTCAAATGAGCATAATGTAATATTTTTTTAGATTTTGCTTTACATAAAAAGTGTATTGATATAGGAATGTTATCTCCTATGACTTTATATTTAGTTTACCTGATTCACACCTAATCCCATTATAGCCATCAACACAGTCACAGGTGAATCTGTCAAGTAAATTGTTACACGCTCCTCCATTCAAACAGGGATTGCTGGCACATTCGTTGATATCTGTGTAAATTGAGTTTCAATGACAATGATTGGAATGAAATGGTCTAGAAATCATTTCCATTATGTTAGATTTTTCTATACAATTTCAGCGATTAACAGGAATATTAGGTAGAAATTGTTTTTTCAATGCAAATTAAGGACAATAGAGAAAGAAACTACTACATTCGTAAAACTATTGATAAATAAATCAAACAAACTAAATCTATCTTGTTCTGTCCGAATTTTGTCTAAAATCATGGACTTAGAAGTAGAAAAAATCTAGGAAACAATTTTCGTTGTTTGACAAACTTTGATGTGGCCCTTGAAGAAAAAAAAAAGTTAAGATAGGCAATTGATCTTTCCTTTGGGGGTGAAATATATAAACATAAACAATTTTGAAAATGCATTCTTAACTATGTCAATAAGGTTCAAAGGTGTAACTGCTTATTTGTCAATCTATATTCCATGTAGATCCATAACGACCAATGCTACACAATTGAAACTTGACATATGGATAGACCATAATGGAATCACCATTTTATAAGATTATGTAATCTTGAAAATGCATTCTTCAATATGTAAAACATGAAGATTCAATTACCTAATTCTAAGTGACGAATTAAATTCTAGTTTCATATTGGGTCATTGAAATGATTGTGGTTGTGGAATAAATAAATAGTTTTCATGGGAACAAATGATTTGATATTTGTGAAACAAAACAAAAAGGGAATTAAGCAGATGGTGGATAGATTCTTGCAGAGATGCGAAAACTTGAATAACTTTTATAGCATTTGGTGTACATGTCAACACCACTTTAACTTGGGGATTATGTTACGTAATGTATCCCTTTTTTTTGTTGCTTCTAGTATGTAAATGTACGTGACCAAACAGATGTCACTAACAGGAGAGTCACAAGCAAAGTGTCTCCTTCGATCACAGGTGCTGGAGTTCTCCCAGACGGATCACTCACACATCTTCCCGAGAAAATGTCAGATTCTCAAAGGCAGCAGCTTTTATAGGAGGGAGTGAATATGACTTGTATTATTTTCTTGGACGAACTCTTCTCTGGTATTTAAACTGGAAAGTGATTCCGTAGTACGTCCATGTACTTTTCCGATGATTTGAATAGTTAGATGGTCGGAAAATTACTCAGGATACCGCATTAAATACATGTAGTTCATTAGTGATTTTCACTAATATTTGACTTTGTTTCAATTTGATTTCAATGACAATTTCCTCACTATTTCCTAATTTCCTGTATATATTCATACCTTTGATTTTATAAGTTGTACTTTGTAAAAGAGAAATTGAAATAACTGCATGTATTATTATTAATAATAATATAGTAATTATTAATTATAAAGCGCACTTATCCAATAACTAACTCAAGAAGCTATCAAAACAAATACACAAATCTTTTTCCAGAATTCAACAACATAATAGCATTAGTAAATAAAAAAGCTTTTTAACATGTTTCTGAAAGGTTTCTATGCATTGAATGTTTCTAATGTCACTTGGTAGCTTGTTCAAGAGGACTGGTGCAACATATACAAACGCACTATCACCATAGTGGGTGGTTCGGGTTCCGGGGACTTTTACGATGGTAGAGGCAGAAGAACGGAGTGAGCAATGGGATTGCTTTGTGGTGAGGAGATCTTCCAGGTACTCAGGTACAGTATCGTGGAGTGCCTGAAAGACAAGCGTTAGGATTTTGTATTCAATCCGTTTTTGAACTGGGAGCTAGTGGTAATGTCTTAGGATTAAGATTCGGGCCTTCGGTCAACTGGGCTGTCGCCTCTTAATCATTCTCCTGTACACATTTGAAGAAACACTAAGGTCAGATGAATATTCAAACGCATGTATGGAGACATTATTCCATGAAAGCTGCATCTTATATTACAAAGCACACCTACCCTGAGGCCTCTCACAGATGTATTGGGAATTACCCTGACACGAGGCATCATTCCACTTCCCATGACGTTCATCTGTGAAAGTGTACAAGCACGCGCAGTCTTCCTCCCCTCCATAATCGTTTGGTTCTCCTGTATCCCAGGAAGACTCACTTCTTCTATTATACCAAAATGGTTGATTTGGAAAATGAGTATAAAAGATAATCATCGTTCAGTATCACAAGGCATAACTCTCAACACATTGGGACACTGGCATTTTAAATCATCTCAATGGGAATATAATTTATACTGATTGTACAAAATATCTCTAGAAGAACCAATGTTATGCGAAAATGCATGAGAAATCCGACACTAAACCCTATTATTGTACTCAATAATCCTTTAAGTGAAACAAACAAAAATATTTTGTTGAAGGTATAATTGCATGTAATATGTGAAATATGTGTTTGTCGTTAACATAAAAACAAAGAATAAAGAAGGAGAAATTCAATAGAAAATAAGAAGACAAATTTGAAATCACCTTTCCAGAGTGTCATCTAGCCATACAAAATTGCCATAGTTGTTTCGTGTAAGTCCAAACCAATAGCAGCCCAATGGGTTTGAAATTGATATGATTCCTACCAGGAAACTCTTGAAAAAGGAGCGTGGGAAAAGAAGACAAAACAATGATAAGCGTATGTAACAAAGCTTCTTTTTTCTTTTTTCCTCTCGTCTGACATAATATCATAAGCGTTGTCAATAGTAAGTACTTCCGATATAGTTTTTCATTAATGGAAAGTTCCTGTTGAAAGAAGTTTTTAAACGAATAACATTTATATGATATCATAAAATGATATGCAACAATATGAACATGGACGCTTTCCAAATCATGACTTAAAGCTTAGCTCCAGTATAAATAAATATTATAAGCCGGGTTATATTCTCATATCATAATTTATATAACCTACGGCTAAAATGATTCCCCAGTGCCATGAACTCTTGATATCATTATGTATGCTCCTTTTCAAAGAAAATAAAATTGAATGATATAATTCATACAGGGTAAAGCATAGGGTTTTTTCTCTTACATTAACTTCTTGTGATTTGATAAAGGCCAGGTCACCGCCATTGCTCATGCAGTTTGCTCTAGCATCTTCAAATAATAGTGCTCCTCCAGAGAACCGATATGACGATTGGCCGAAATGATGCCACGAAGAAGGGGAAACTGGCAAGTAAATATGACACAGGTTTAATTCAATATCCTCATTTCATACTTTAAAACAAAAATACTTTGTTATATTTTGCTGTTTGTTAGGTGATACGTACGGTATGAAGTACGTATCACTTTTTGATTTCTTCAATAGTTTTGTTATTAGGTGATACGTATGGTACGTATACGTATCACCTTTTGATTTCGTCAGGATTTTTATTATTAGGTGATACGTACGAAGTATACGTATCACCTATTGATTTCGTCAAGATTTTTCTTTATTTATTTATTCTTCCTCAAATTTGTTCGCACGATATCTCAAGACTGGATAAAGCCATCATCATGAAACTGGCGATGATGATAGATTAGAACTGCGTGACTTTTCAGTGATTCAAAATCATCGTGACGTCATCCAGGCGCCATTTTGTGAAAATCAACTGATGATCATATCTTCATAACACAAAGTCGTTTCTCATTCATATTTATCATGATCAAGGTCAATATCTGTCTTTTCAATTTCAGGTCAATAAATACGCTCAAACATGCGCGTACGCGTATGTCCTCCCGTTAAAACGCGCGTAAAATTTTAAATTGCTCAAAATCGTTTTAATTTTTTTTGCATACGTTTCAGGCCATTAGGAGCATTTGCCCAAACAACCACGCACACGCGCATTTTCGCGCGTTTTTGTTCGTCACGGCCGAACGCAAAATAATTATCCCTCAATTCTTTTTGCACGATATTTCGCATATTTTTCCGAACAATTTGATACCATGTTTATATCTTTATGACCATTAATAAGGGAATGAGCGTCCGTTCAGGATAAATGTCCGTGCGCGCGAGCTCTTGTAATACATAGCATATATGGGCAAAAACATGCCTATACAAAATCCATTATAGGTCTTTTGTTGGAAAGGAACTCTCAATTTGTTTTCTTCATATATATAGATATATATATATATTTAGTATAAGTCGGAGACTGATGATTTCATGCCTTATTTGGCCATTTAGTATATTTTGACATTATCATATCGACCTTGGAACTAAATTTTCAATAATTCATTGCATTTTGCCCCGACCCCAAACATTACAAAATCTTTTTTTTTGTGTTTTTGTGGGGGCGTACCCTAGCGCCCGCTGCGTACAGTCATGATTCATTGGCTAAGCAATGGCCTCGTTACTGTGAGCCCCCAGGATCAAAACCGTGTCGATGTGCTATATAAGTGCCCTTTTACGAGGCATTAATCCCCATTTTTGTCAGTTATGACTCAAGGACATAGGTCCCCTAGTTGATTAGCATAGTAGCACACACATGCTTTAGCAGTCACGCAAAACAAACACTCCCCAATTGTCATTCAATAAAATCTGAGAATGTATACTATTATCTAGATCTATTAGGAATAAATCATTGTCAAAATCATTCAATAAATTGGGGTAAAAATAATTATTCCACCATTATGACCAACAGTGTATATACACACATATGCAAAGAGGCAAAATTGACAATTTTCCGCCACACGGGCACCGCCCACCGCCACTGAGCATACATGTAAACATTGTTATTACGTACATTACGTATTCAATTCAAGACTTCATTCCAGACTCAGCCGCAAGAAGCAGGGGTCCATAAAACATATTTACATGATATAAACATTGAACAAAAATAAGAGTGGACCACATAAGATAAACACAAGAAGAAAATAAAATTGAAATATGAGACTAATACATTGTTCAGAGATGAACACACACAAAAAAAACATAAGTATCAGTCTAACCAGCATTAAAGGCAGAGACTCGCAGAAAAAAATAAAGAACGTGCTGGGCTTAAGAAAATGAGTTTCAAAAAATTAGAAAATGTACTAAGAAATTTCAGAAATGTTATTTCTCATGGACCAGAATATGTCTGTTGTGTATGTCTAAAATTGC